ACAGCCTGTTCTTGTCCATTGCCCAACATAAGCCTCCCCACGCTTGCAATTGCTATTGCATGAATGACATACCTCGCAAAAAAAACTGGCGCGAAATATTAATTAATATTATTCTTGGTACAGCATAAAAATCTGCTAGTTACCGCTTATCGCGAACATTATTTTTTTACTGATTAAAATTCGTTTAGAGAATATTCTGGATATTATATATCGGAATAAATTACCCGTCATTATTGTAGTTAGGCAAGTTCTGATGAAATTGTAATTCAGACGAGCCTATTTCGTTTCGTTGAATTTATGAATTGTTTAATTTTACAAACGTATTCTGTGGTGAGGAGAATATCAATATTAATACGAGTATTTGAATCATCGCTTTTTCACAGGGCAAAGCAGCAGCTTTTTTTGCTGGGAATTTCTGTTTCCGCATATTGCGCACTTTCTGTGCGTGTATATGTGATTTGACATACAGCAATAACGGTACATGGTTCAATATTCATGCTACTACGCCATTAAGCTTTTTTTTTAAAAAGGCACTAAATATTTAAGGAAATAATTAAGTTAAAACAAAATACATACATAATGTAAATTTAAATCGCTACTTTCACTATATCTAAACCTACCTTTGGGTATACGGTGTTAAATGTAAATATACCTTTCTGTATTTATGTGTAATATGTTAATTTTTGTACTAAATTTTGTATAATTGTTTACACGCCTTAAGAAAATAAAATCTAAATAAAGATATTATTGGGAACGTTAAGGGTACAATTTTTTGATATGTGGTAGATTTTATAAATGAAATAAAAAAAGTCATTGTTTACGTTTATTAAACACTAGCCGCTAGCCTCCCTAATAGTCGTTGAAGCACATAATAGAGATTGTCGAAATCAATATTGAATCGACCGAATGAAATTTTAAAATCTAATGAACTACGATCGAAATAGGCTCGAGGGCCATCACTAGTATCTACTTTAATAATGAAAAAAAACACGATCTATATTTTGCATTTATTATGACTGCTTACATAACAGCAATTTATTTAATGTTTTTTTTCGACGTATATGTAAGTCATCTAGCCGCCAATGTTGTTTTCCCGCATCATACCAATAAATTGATGATAATTTTCACTATGTAAACACATTTTAGAGATTAAGCTTTCGTCTGATAAATAAATTGGCTTTTTCCAAACAGCCCCGTTTTGAGTTTGCGATAAAGAGATCAAGTTGATATAGGCACAACGATTATACGTACAATTTTTTCACAAATTATTAGTCACAATTAATGTCGGGTTAAACTTTACCACACCGTACTTTCTTGTTATACGTTTTATTGCTAGAGTGAAGCTCTGAAAAAGTGGTTTAAAAAGCACAGTGAAAAGTTGGTTTTACATCACCATTCCGCCTAGTCCCGCAGCGTTAAAGAGTACAGAGCACAAGAGCACAGTGTTAATGGCAAAGCCACGTAGCGTTTTCTGATGCTGTTTATATTTGCCGATTGGGATGAGGAATTACTGCGGCCTAGCAAAGGACCACCATAACCTACAAGAACTAACATGTTTGCGTCAAGTTGTGGTGTACGAGGACTCTTATAAAGGTTGTTAACCTCTGGCCGTATCGAACTGTATTCTCGTTTGTGTTATTGCTGCCTTCTCTTTTAAACAATACTAGAAAAAAGTTAGTCTTTTAAAAAGTACTAGAAAAGTTGGTGCTGCAATCATCGAAGCCAAGACCATACACATAAACACCTATTCCAATTACTGCCATCTCTCCTCGTACCATAGGACATCCGCCCGGACTGATCTCCATCAACGCTCCTGTCCTTTTCAACCTGTCCTCCCGAATTCCTTAGGATCCACCAGCCCCGTATGCTGGGTCGGTTTGTCGGCTACTTCAGTGAGGCGGAGCGGCGTGTGATGCGGACGCGCGTTCTCATCCTCCGCGACCAGATTACGGTGGCCCGTGCCCGTAACGGAACCGATAAGAAGTGAGCCAATCAGAAAAATGTAAATCTAAATGTAGATATTCCGATAGAGTTAAAAACGTTTGTAACACAGATGTTGATGTTTGATGTTGTACAGTAGTTACGTAAACGTAGTGTCGACGTAACCTCATGTAACTCACCCGAGATCGATAAATAAAGAAAGATTTTTTCGTGCTTTAAAAGTTCTTGTGGATAATATTGTTGGTAGAATAAACGGTAATGAATGGAGTGGTTAAGTTTTTAATGAATATTAAGAAATTTTTGTAGTAAAATTATTCCGGTAGCTAACTCAATCATTTAATTATAATAGCGACTAGTCTAAGACACCTGCTCATATATTTCACAAGTTTTCCTTTTTCATATAATCGAAAAAGACTTTGAACATTCCGCTGTATTGGCACATGAACAAAAATATGTTTATACGTCCTGCAGTCTTAAATATAGCTCATGTCACTTATAAGAGAACCCATTTTAATTGGAAAATCCAACTGAAAAAATGTATATTTTCTGTTTTTTGATTATTTACGAGCAGTAGTTTCGTCAAAAATCAAAATCAAAATCATTTATTTATCGATATAATAACAATACATTTCATTTATCGATAGTCATTTTTTTTTATCTACCACCGTTTCGTAATGAGCTAACGGAGAAGCAACAGGCGAAAGAAACTCCGTAGGTATCCTCTTTTTTTGTCAATTTTTTTTCTCAACATAATTAAAATATTATAAAACAAATTTGTTCTTTTATAAATGGCTTGGGAGCGAGCAACTCATACCCTTTTTATTTTATTTTATTAAGAAAACTGACAGCAAATTAGGTACTTCTTTTAAAACAATATTGTAACATATATAAAGAGTCAATTACAAGTTTCCACCTTTAGTACATAATTATGTTTTAACAAAAGTCGAGAAAGTGATGAAAGAAAAAAAAAGTTTTTCTTATTTCTATATCTTTTGTTATAAAGTTTTTCTTTAATAAATTTCTTAAACCTGTTGATAGGCAGGCTTTGCGTATTTACTGAGATTTTGTTGTAGAATCGTATACATCGCTCCATGAACTGTTACTTACTCTATGGAGTCTAGTAATTGGCGTTACAAGCTTGTGTTTGTCCAAGGATGTACTACGACCACACAAGACCCGCGTGGCAAGCAAATTCCCAAAATTTTTCTTGTGTGACTTAGCCCGGTGAGTACAGTGACCGGGGCTCACTTACTCAAACGTTGACAATGCATCCGCAAACCCATAGGTGGTCACTATAACCGTCGGATCATTTGCCATGATCAAAAAAGTAACACCGGATGTCAACACTATCATTATAAGAATGAAGTGAAAAAAAGTAAATGGGCGTGAAAGGTCGACATAAATTACAATGTGATGTTGGAATTACATAACAGAAGTTGTTTTAGTTGCGTTCTACTGTGGCGTAGCTATTGGCGTTTACGTAAATAACTCGTCCCCTCGACACTATGTCCTGCCATTAGTAAACGACTCAAGGCCATGGTGTGGTTATTTTATAGTAAGGGCTAAATGCACACGCAACATTACTCGCTCCCTCATTGAATATATGACGTCTGGGTAATTTTTACTATGGTGTGAAGGGCGTTTCGTATTTGCCAAGATAACAAGGGGAACCAACAAGTCGATCGATTACGTTTGGCCGTTGCGATGGTTTACAAATGTTTGTTTAAATAACTATAAATGTTTTTTTACCAGAGTGAAATTGCTGATTTATTTATTTGTTTAGACTTACCAAGAAGAAGTATATTAATTATAGAAACACATTGTTACTTTATTGGATTTAGGTTATATAAATCTTCAATAATAAGCAAAAACATGTTACGTCAAATTCTAAAAAAAGATAATTACTCTTTATTCGAACAGTGACTTATACATTTTTGTGATTTGGACAGATTTTGTAAACTGGCCATTTTCGAAGGTGGATCATTTTCACGGAAGTAGGTTGGAAAAAATAAGGCATTAATAATTCCTCGTGTGTTATTTATTCTTTATGTACAATTTCGGATACAATATCCGATAGGTTTTCTATGTTACACAGTATATATACGTGTTAAATTATCTGTTGTTTGATACTTCTACCATAGGTATCTTTGCCTTTCGACATCGTACTTTGCGCATAATCGACCTCCTTTTATTCCAAGTATGTAGTCGTTACAGAAACTGCTTCTAATGCAACTGTATGTCACTATCACTTAGCGGCAATATAGGGTTACTAGAGACAACTCAATACCGCTCAACGTTTCAATTGAAAGTACCGTTGTAACATTAGGAGCATTAAGGTTTCGACCAACCGTTTTTGCTGATCTTATTTCGAATACAAGGGAATATTTCAATTCCGGGCTAAGGTACTTTAGTTAGTAGTTTGTGTAATTGTGTCGAGGCTGTTGCCAATAGCAACCGATCACAATGTCAAACCGCGATTTTATGACTCGACCACACCTCGTTAGAAAACTTCGTTAAGCACATATTTTGAAGTCCTTACTTGAACTGGGTTACTGGAACTGTGGAATAGGCAAACTAAACGTTTGCCTATTACTGATGAAACTAATGGTCTTTATGCCTTTACTATATACTTCGCAGCTCAGTAAAACTGTAGTTATTCAAGTCTATGATAAGGCCACGATGTACTAATGGGTAGCTTGCCCGGGGACACAGAATAGCGCACGCCGTGAAGACATATACTTTTGGGCTACGTCTGACAAGGGAGATGCCCATGGGATCACTTATCATTCCTACCACCTGACGTAAAACAATGCATCTCTTATCGTTTATTAATTTCTTGCGCTTACAATTTAAACGTTTCCACTCTGTGAACTTAAAAATTCGCGATTATTTATTTGTGTGGTCGCTCTATGCTCCGGCCATATGGAATTGTACCCGCTGTCGCTGATATGACTTATTTAAGCTGACGGGTGCACGAGATGTTTGTACCGTTTAATTGAACTGCGTTTTGCGGCGCGCTCCATGTCTGAATTGATTGGTGTTTTTTTTATCCCCAACAGAATAGCCCAGCCGGTGTTCTTAGGCAAACTGATAGAATACTATGGCCCGGAAAAGACCACCATGAAGCCTAAGGACGCCTACTTGTACGCCGGGGCCGTGATCCTGTGCTCAGCGCTCAACGTGTTTGTGGTGCACCCATACATGATGGCTATCTTACACATGGGGATGAAGTTCAGAGTCGCCTGCTGTTCTCTCATATACAGAAAGGTAAGTGTGCTCCCAATCAACCGTTCAGAAAGTGTCAATAACTGTATGTAAGCTAAAATATTTGTATTATAAAAACGGATCCATTTATATTTAACTAATCATTGACTTTAGAATTTCGATGACGTAATTATTTGCTATTTGCATTAGGTTCACTATTGGTCATTGTACACATAAACACGTACAAACCTCTGTTGAATAATAATGTCCTCATATTTCCGGCCAATCTTCCTCAAGATCTTTTTCTGGTTTTTCATGTAACATAAAAATAGCCATAAATAAAAGTGTAGTTTTACTGTACTTTATTGTTCAAATTATATATCCTGATGTACTAAAAAAAACTAGCAAAGTAATTCATTATCCATACTTCCATACTAATATTATAAATGCGAAAGTAACTCTGTCTGACTGTCTGTCTCGCTTTCATGCTAAAACTACTGTACCGATTTAAATGAAATTTGGTACACAGATAGTCTAGAGCCTGAGAAAGGACATAGGTTATTTCTTAATTGGATTTTTTAAGAAAGATATTTATTTAAGGGCTTTAACGCGAGCGAAGTCACGGGCGAAAAGCTAGTTTTTTTATAAATTCATGGCAATATTCTGTGTTTTTATTGGTAGAAGCTCCTTAAGAATTACTGCTCGCATTGCGTACAATTGTACAATTGATTGCGGTATCAAATTGAAACCATGTTTTTGTCATGAATCATATATTTATTGAAAGGCGGGATCGTTTATTTGTTTCCCGAAACAATGCATTAAAGTTTGACAGGATTTTAAAGACCTGTATTAAATTTGCATAACCACCGTTAAAATTCCGGCAGTATTGGGCTTAGTTACAAAGTGCCTTGGATTATGTGCTTAACTGACGTTAGCCATTTTAAGCGACGTAATACTCATTCAAATGTTAGGAGTGGGCTTTTGTTATTCGGTCTTCACGGCCAAATGTTTTCAGCAGTGGCCTTGGTATAATTCCTTACACTCTTCCTACACTCGATTCATTATAGCGCGTCTTTACAGTGGAATACTATAGTCTGCGTAACCGTTCTTATGACGCGGTCCATGGTTAATTATTTCTGTTACCTTGTTGTCTTATCACCTATAACATTGCCGATTTTAACACTGCCTGCCGTGAGTATCTTTCGTATCGTAATTCGAATTGAAATTAATTTTATAATGTTATATTTACGACATTTCTTTTGAAAAAACTTAAGTGCAGACACTAGCATTAAAAATTAAATTTGTTATTGGTTTATTTGTTACCACACCGTAAAATTTAACATTGATATCGCTGTTTCTAAGATCCTATGAATACGAGCTTTATTGTTGAACTGAGGCGGCTTAGACGGCACGCAATATCCAGGTATGTATGGACCAGTTATCGCAAGGGAATGCACAGTGGGTTTTGGTTAGATTGCTTCCGTTCTAGACACCTCGATTTCAAGAATGGTCCCCGTAGCGGATAGAGTACAAAAGTCGGCAACAGTGAGTTTAAAACGGAGTAGAAACTGGCGCATCTTGGAAAATTCATAAAATTGGAAAGATAAAAAACTCAGAATGCGTCTACCGCATGAACTTGTTTAACATTAACAAGAACGTGACGAAGCTTGCCTTATCTTCGTGAATATGCGGACGAATGAGAAGATTCTGAATCGGATGATCATTTGTGATGAGAATTGTCCTGTATCACAATCGAAAACGTCCACCGCTACGGTAGGACACGAGGGAGGCAGCAAACCATTCCATCGTGATACCAAATGGAAACACGAGTCAAAAGAGGCGTTGTGAGTAGTGCTAGCATTGTTCATTAAAACAGGAGAGTCAGTGTACTTTGCGGTACTATAAAGGAATACCTTTTCGTATAGTACCACAAAGGAATACCTTTTCGTATAGTACCGCAAAGACAAATTGACCGAAAGGCGACTCGGGAATATTAATTCCAGAGTCTGTTATCTGTTAATATGAATCAAACGTTTCATTTTACACATCCTTCTCATAGATAACATATTGTAACTGCTTTAAAAATTATTTCTATCACATTGCAAATTCGATTGAACAATGTCACGTAGTGTGTCTGGGGACGTGCTCGATGCTTCATTTTAGAATGCCTCATTTGTACGCGTAGCCGTAAAAGTGTAGAGTAAAATTGCACAAGCGCGTGCAAACTGACTTTGCGTCAGAAAAAAATCGTTCGTCAAATTGACTGGTCCACTCGTTAACAGTAATTCCTGAATGGTTTATTCACGCTGCAGTTCACTGGTCCTATATAATTGCCTAGTGACTAGGCCCTAGCTAGACAATTGAATCAAATTCTATAAACCAAAAATATCCAATTTCGCAGTAAATAGATCCTGATTACTAACCAATCGTCTAGTTCTCAGTTTCAAGTTTTTTATCTCTGTATGATAATTTTTTTCATCGTTAACGTAAATTATACAAACACCATTTCAAAGCTTATATTTGCTCCTATTGACGAAATATAGACAAGTAGAATAGTTAACATTTTCATGAAAAAGCTTTTGTTTATAAATTTCTTATAAAGATTGTGTGATAATTCCATCTATTTACAATTGCTTGAATAAATGATACCGAAATTTTAAAAATGTTATTCTTCACAACAACGATATCTTTCATTGATAAATATTATTTACACATTATTATATTACCATTCGGTGACTCATCACGGCACTGGGAAAATTTCGCATAGGTCAACAAGTCTTAATATGTTATAATACCTAAACAACGATGACCGTCTTCTTGTAAAATATACGAGTACAAGAAAATCATAATTTTAAGTAGCCATTAGTTTGGAATAAGCTAAATCTGCAGTTTTTGATTAAATAAGCGCAATAATTTATGTAAAATAAGTGTCAACAAGGTATGAAGTGTCACGTATGTGTTTACTATTTATTTTTTATAGTTGTTATTTCTTTGTCATTGCATGTACACTTCTGACACGCATATTGACGTATAGAAATTAATGTAAAATATTTTTTCTGAAGGTAAAGCATTATTTCTGTTGCGGAATATTCAAACATCGGCAATAAAAATATATGAACCTGAGATCCAGATTTAAAAACCATTAAAATGTTAACGCCCGGTTTCTGAAACACTGATCATCTTCTTCTTCTTCTTCTTCTTAATAATTTGGCTTGCTTTGTGAGTTATCACAATTCCGCCAATGTCAAGTTGTTAGCCATTACACGTAGGGGAATGACAGTTTTAAAATATAAATTTAGTTATCGGAGGTTACTGCTTTAAGCATGTTTTACTTGAAATAAAAGGACGTCATATACAGGACAACACATACATGAAACAGATAAAGTTGTGGTGATATAAAATTGTAGTTTTAAACACTGATCATCGTAGTCAACTAATCAGCTGTCAAATTGATTTTCAAATGTTGTTTGAGTTGCCAAAAGGATTCGTGAAACTGAATTGGACAGAATGGTCTTCTTAATGATCAGAATGATCAATTCAAATAGTTTAACAATCCTTTTAGCAATTCAAATAACATTTGAACATCCATTTGACAGCTGATTAGTTGACTTCTACGATGATCAGTGTTTCAGAAACTGGACATAATTATCTTGTTTTTGGACATGGTTATAGCATGCTCCCATTCAATCGTCTTTTTGTACAGTCTTCTTTATGCATTTTTTTTTTCTTATATTTATGTCAACGCCGCGCCCTGTTAGAGTTTGATTATTATTGACTGAAGAACGTACCGTAATTTTCTTTTTAGTATACTCGTTGTTCAGTGTTTATTCTTAGGGTTGTACTTGCGCCACTAACGTTTTAAAAGAGGGATCTCGTTACGTCACTCACCGGGCGAGAGGCGAAAGTAGAAACGGTGTTCGCTGTTGCATGAATGGGCAGGTCCGTCCGGGTTAGTTTACATTTGCAACACCTGTGGGGTTGCAGATGCGTTGCCACCCTTTAATAAAGTGGGCCCCGGCTACCTCAATCACCTACGAAACGCAGAAGTAACATTTCTACTTCACGCCAGTCTTCTGTGAGGCCGTGGTACTTCCCCAGACGAGCCTGCCCATTCATGCAACCGCGGAAGCTGCTGCGTGTCCCTACCACAGTTAGTTTAAGGCTTATTAATAATCCAGTACAAAATTTCAAAAATACGTTTTTTTTTAATGAAGTTTAACTTTTTTCTTTTTTATGTAGTAAGTAGGTTGTAAGAATAAATAAAGAAACTATATATTCTCTTTCTAGAATCGATTGCATATATTCTTACTCTTACTATTTTATTTTATTTAAATTAATAGGAGTCAGTGCGATGAATGACTTGCGAAAATGAACGGCAACAGCGCTGAACAATGGTGGATGTATTTCTTAGAAATAGTTGTTTGTGTTTGAAGAATGTTTCAATTCATTAACCTATAAACGTGATTGCTTCTTCACGGCTTTACCGTAATGGTTTATTACAAAGTCATCATTCTATATTTATCTAATTAGCTTCAATATATTTTTTTTTTTATGGGAATTCTAAAAGATAGAAATAATTTTGCAATATTGCACACTATTTCAGTTAGTGGTATACGGAAATTTTTCTTATCCGTCTTCAAATAAAAGGAGGTTCAAAGGATTGACCTTAAATGAAATTAAGAGAAGATAACTAACATGTCGAATTAAATTGGGTAGCATTTTATATGTTGCATATTAATTATGTTGCATAATAATTTGTTAACATATCTGGGTAAAATGATGGCTTTATTGTTTTATTTGCATTAATTTAGCCTCCGAATTCAGCATCGTTTTGCAGCATATTCGGATTTCTTAATGATTTCTGTATGAAAACTGACGTTCTGTGGATGCTCCTGCGAAGTCTATTTTTAGTTTTTTTTAAACAATAATAATTTTATTGCAAACGCTACGGTACGTTAATTGTGAAAACGACTAAACATTAGCAATATATTTAGCCATAGTACTGTCTGCATACGTTTGTAAAAAACGTTAGTCGTCATTATGGTCAAATAAAATATAATTTAACTAGCTGCTGCCCGCGACTACGTCTGCGTAGAATAGACTGAAGGCGTAACATTCAGACAGAAAGACAAATATACATAAAATATGTATATAAATTATAGCCTATTTCTTATTCTGATGTATATACTATATTATTGTAAAGTTTCATTAAAATCCATTCAGTAGTATTTGCGTAAAAGAGTAACAAACATCCATCCATACATACAAACTTTCGCCTTTATAATATTAGTAAGGATTATCTATGCTAATATCATAAAAAAAGAGTGCGAGTTTTGTTAATTTGTGTATGTGAATAGTGATCTACATAACCTTTTATGAAATTTGTACTTAAAAAAACGTACGCGAGTCATTACATCTATTGAAGATATTAATAAAACCTATTTTGTTGAAGAGCGGGAATTTTTTAGCAGTATTTATCAAAGGAGAAATGTATAAATTCAAATTCAAAATAGCTTTATTCATATAGACGCTTTCGAGTTCTTATGAAACGTCGAAATTTTACATAGAAATTAATACGTTCCTAAGTTAGCACCAATGAACCGTGATACCTTAGTGTCCGGGAGCTCGCCTTTGATTCAATTTAGTCGAGCAACCTGAGTTCGATCCCCGGTGCCAGCATCAATGTAATTGTTAATTTTAAGTGCTGATTTATCACGTGCTCGACGGTGAAGGAAATCATCGTGAGGACACCAGCATATTATAGTAAAAAATGTTACGAAAATATGTGAAGTCCGCCAATCCGCAGTGGGGCCGCGTGGTGGACTACGCCCTGACACCCTCTGTACAGAGGAGGTCTTTGGCCAGCAGTGGGACATTTATAGGCTGTTGTTACCTTACCTTACCTAAGTTATCACCGGTTCGGAAAGCAGTTTCTGTAGAGAAGAATCCGGCAAGAAACTCAACAGTTACCCTGTTTTAAAAACGTTACACACACAACAAAATAATGGTTAATGGAGTGCCATGGGCTAAAATATGGCTAAGGCTAAAATGTGACTATTATACCAGTAGGTATAAAGTCATATTTTAGTCTACATGAGTATCAACAGTATTATCTCCACACATTGGCGTCGTCACATCATTGGCGTCATTGGGATTATATTGTACCCGCGCACACTTTGCCCCATGACGTATTCTATACGTATTCTAATATTATTAACAAATACAAATTAGTACCTTGACCTCCTAAAAAAGCGTATGAACAAATGAAATTGAGATGCACCATTATAACGCACCGACGTTGGTTATGTATGTTTATTTTTACAAGTATTAATAGTATTTTATTATTAAAAGACCCTATCTTTTAAAACTAGTTTTCGGACAGGTTTTAGTCTGGGATACTGCTCTACTTATATGGTAGATAACATGTGATTCTATGTTACGTTAGCTACTTTTCGATACGTTAGTCTTCCCTGTTATAATACTAACAAAAATACAACAGCAGTACCATAATCTGAAAAAAAATTAACATAATTATGTAGAATATTTATTAAATTCCACTTGAAAGAGCCTGGATCGATCAAATAATTGCTAGTGTGTGCTATCATTCAAATGTAATTACTAGGGCATGGATAATTATATGAATTAAAAAAATTCTGAATATTTACATATTATATGGACCAAAAAATGTAAAATATGGAAAATATATGGAGTATAACATAAAAATATCATTCATATTAAACTTTGTTTATTGTGAAAAATTACGACAGTTACATTAAAAAATTATAAAAAGATAGCGAAATGTTTAGGTAGGTAATTCAAATAAAAAAATGAATTTGAATAAATCTTCCACTAAATATGTCTTATTAAATTGATTGCAGTACACAATCACGCGCTGTTTTTAAATTATCCAAATTAAAACTCTGTCGAATCGGTCTATGTATTATATAGACGGATTTGCAAAATTCTTTTTTGTTCGAAACGGGTTCATTCCGAAATGGTGCCATATGAATTTCATATAGATCTGATGATGATTATCGGAGATAGCAACGGAACGCTTCGAAATATGACAGGAAATCCACCGCGATTGCTACTATCGCATAAATATGCATTGTTTTGCATGTAAACTTGTTACAGTTACGTACATCATTTTATTTGAAGTCGGATCTTTTTTTGTTAAAAAACTTTATTTTGTTATTTATATAGAAGAAGAAGATAAGATTTGTTTTATCTATTCATAGTCGTTGAGGCTGTCCAAGACGGCCCTGGGCGAGACGACGGTGGGCCAAGTGGTGAATCTGCTGTCGAACGACGTGAACCGCTTCGATGTGGCGATCATCTTCCTCCACTACCTGTGGATCGGGCCGCTGGCCACCGTCATAATCGCCTACTTCATGTGGCTCGAGATCAGCTGGGCGGCCGTAGTCGGCGTCGGTTTCATGCTCGCCTTCATACCATTGCAAGGTGAGCGCTACGAGTATCTCGGTGTTAATAATAATAATACATACATACATCATAGACATAGGGTGAAACACAAACAACATACAATCAACCATCACCGACATAATAATAATAAAATATCTTTATTCACATAGACGCTTGCCCGTACTTGTGAAACGTCAAAATTTTACAAAGAAATTAACACGTTCGTAAGTTAGCACCGGTTCGGAAAGCAGTTTCTGCTGAGAAGAAACGGGCACGAAACTCAACAGTCGCTCAGCGATTAATCGATTTCGGATACATCACACACGTGTGCCACTGTGGTAGGGCCACGCAATGGTCTTCGCCGTCGCACGGATGGGCAGGTCCGTACGGGGAGTATCAAGTCCTTACGTGAAGTGAATGCGTTATACTTCTGCGTTTCCTCGGGTGAGTAATGTAACAGGGGCCCGTTTATTAAAAGGTACGGGTAACACATCTAAAACCGTACGAGTGTTGCAGATGTCCATGGACGGCGGTTGTCACTTAATTGAAACGCCACCTTCTCACATAAAAAGTATGTGTAACACGACCTACATGGTTCAGTATGAAGGCCTTCGGATTTTAAATAGTATTTGTAATAAATTGTATGTATTTTTATTTCAAGTTCAAAGTAAACTGTGTTAGTTTCTTAAAGTAAATATTTCAGGCTTGAAAGTGGACATGTATCTATCAAATTTAAACGCGGACGTAGGTACGTCAAGTGGCGAACACTATACTTGTATTTTTTTTATGTCTTATTTAGATTTTTATATTCTTTACTGACTCGGTGGCGTAGTTGCTAATCTATTGGTTTCGGAGCCGGGGGTCGTGGATTCGATTTTCACACGGCACAAGTATTTGTGTGACCCACAGATAATTTTTCCGGATCTGGGTCTGGAACTGGTCCGCAACTGTCTATCAATTAAGAAGTAGGCTTCCAGGCAATTTTGGAGGATTGACGGCAGGCAGGCGGGCGGTCGTTAAAAGCCCAAACCAATTACAACGAATTGTTAGTGACGTTCAACACGTTTTGGTGGAGTGCGTTCGAAACGTAGCATTCTGTGTGTCGTATTACTGTCGGGGTGCTTCCAAAGATGTTGGATACCCAAACGTTATCTTGACCCATCAAATGTGGAGTTCAAGTTCATCAAGGTCGAGGCCAAGATGATGCCAAATTTAGCTTAGGTTTAAGATAATAAGTCTTGTTGAATGGCTGTAGTTTACAAAGGGCGATGTGGTCGCACAGCTACGAAGCCCCCAAAAAAAACATGATTCACATGTTGTGCCGACCCCACTAAGGATAAGGGCAGGAAAGAATAAGGATAAGGGCAGGAAAGAGTAAGGATAAGGGCAGGAAAATTATGATAAACATTACCATAGCTAAACCTGCAAAATAACAGCCAATACATGTCCCACTGCTGGGCAAAGCCCTCCTCCGTACAGAGGGTACTAGAGTACAGTGCACCTAGCGGCTCCATTGCGGATTGGCGGAAAAAACATGCCTTCGAAATAATTTTCTTCATTAGTATTTCGAAAATGTTCAGGTGATGTTTTCCTTCACCGCTGAGCACGTGATAAGTCGGCACTTAAAATTAATAATTTCATTAGAGCCGGCACCAGAGATCAAACTTACCTGAGATAGATTATTATTATTATATTATATAGTTAAATTAAAGGCGTTTATTATTATTTAATATAGATATTAAATTAAAGGCGAGAGCCCGGACACTGAGCTATCATGTCTCTAACCACCTGCAAAGCCATTCGAATAGTATATATGCACAGGGCTTTGCTCTTTACTCATCAACACTTACTTGTTTCTAATGAACTTTTATTGTCTTTCGTTTAAAACGATTAATTCGTAAAGAGCATAAATTTATTCAATCTAAAGACATCTATATTGGTTATAATATAAAGATATTCATATAGCTCCGAACGAAAATCAAATTACCCGTAAGTAAACCAGGTCAATTAGTTTGTACTTAGCCTTTACAATTGTCTGGTTACTCTCAAATATCAGATAACTTATTATTCACAGCTTAGGTTTATTGTATTTGCAATTTATTTAACCCGATTGTAGGTAGTCAACGCAGTTTCGTTATCTGAAGTTTACTATGGATTAGCTCAAATCAGGAGAAACTGGCAAGAAAATCAACAGATTCTGATTTATTTCATCATTATCAAAAATTCTAGCAAAATACAAATATTCTATAACAAAGAAAAAAAAACTACTTAGATACTTTGTTTCTAATAATTATGTTATTTTAAAACTAAATACCTAAAATTACTTACATATGTACCTATATATGTTTGGACATTGTTCCAAAAAGCTAATTTATAACCCACTACACTTTAAGGTAGTGTAGGAGATGGATAGACATAATGTTACTTTATTAGATCTACGCCCGTTATCTGAAAGACTGATCAACGTAGAAATTAAAAATGACATTTAACAAGCCATTTGACAACTGATTAGTTAATTTCAACGTTGATCAGTCTTACAGAAACCGGGCGTTAGTGTAGTAAAGAAACTTTAAAAATCGTAACACGTTCACTGGCGCGTATTTAACCGTAGGCCGAGTAAAATGTGACCGTCCATGCGTGCTATAAAAACTAATTGAACTACATCCCCACTACTGGTAAAATATTGTGTGATGAACATGGTGTTTTTCTAGTGTGTTTATATATGTATAATACGTATTTATTTACAAAAGAAAAGTATGTTTAAGTATGTGTATCAGTTTTCTAGTACCGTACAAGTACAAGCTTTGAACGAAAATATATTTTAAGTTATGAAGTGAGTCTTATTTCTCTAGAAATAAATATTAAAAAAAATAGTGTAATCTTGGATTAAAGTTTACTGTAAAATATTCCGTCGGATACGTCTAATCTCTAACGAAATCTCTAATCGTAGAAAATGGTTTCCAGCGACGCCTTTTAAGACGTGAACTTAAGAATTCTCGCTAACCTTCCATTACGACAAGGCATGGAGTAAAAATAGTTTTTATTCTTAGTAATGTGCGGTCACGTAGTCTACAGTGTATATGCAGCCTTTAGTCTGACGAGATAAGGTCAATAGTCGCTTGCAGTTCTCACCTTCTAGCCAATAGTGAGCAGCTGGAATATTTCTTTTTTTCTAATGACCCTCGCAAATAAAGCGCATCAGGGAATTCTGCGCGTTGTCCAGGTATAAATTGTTTCATATGTATTCCGCTATGGAGTGATCGAGCGATCGGTAAAGAATTCCTATTTTTACATTGTATGATTCTGTTTACAATAAAAATGTTTGAATGAGCTCAGGTGCCACCTCAGGTAGTTAGTGTCGTCCGTTCATAACGACGTAGCTTGTGAGACGATGTTTTCCCAGACGATGTCGAACAAGACTGATTCGATAAAATCTATAATTAAAACAAAATAATTTTCATACAAACTAAATTAAATAAAAAAGAAACAAAATTTGTAATATTCTATACAACTACAACTGACTGATTCGTACATTCAGACACTTTTTTATACGTTGCCACAACGTCGCATTACAAGTCTCTCCTTCTAACAGTATGTTTTATCTCTTTCAAATACATTCAACGAATTCATATGCTTTGTGACCTTTACAAATGATCTTTACGTCAAAGTTTTATACGTAGTGTTATTCAAAAATTGTTTGTTTTGGAAAATTTAATGACTCTGTAAATATTGATGTTTAATAAAAGTTATGTTTAATAAAATTTTAAAAAGTTATCCTCTATATTGGTGTTTATTTAAGGTCGCGGTAGTAGCGCAATGTTGTATATGGGCTTCCGGCAAAAGTTACAAAAAGATTCAAATAATGTAGGTACATGACATTCATTTAAAGGATTATTATTTTTTTTGTTCAATTGTCAACCTAGGAGCGTTTTTGTGGCCAGTGATCGAAAGTGTACCATCAGGCTCGGGTCAGTGACGAACTGACACGTCACATTCGGGTGAGTGACGCACGCGCCAACGAATCGTGTATTCCCGGCTTCAGTCATAAGCCACGTTTATAGTACTTACGGCGATGATTTTCACTACCTATGTGACGTTTGTCACTCATTGTACAATTGCGCGATAGAGATAATGAAGCCGAAATTAACAGATTATCTCTTTCCAAAGATCGATGTGCAAAATTTATCGCGGAGTACTGTAAGCTGTCCGACATGAATGCACTTCTTGTGCATCCAATAATTACGTTTTTATTATTACGTATTATGTACTATACTATCGACCCGCCCCGGTTTCGCATAAACCTTCCTCTTGAATCACTCTATTTAGTAAAAAAACCGCATCAAGATCCGTTACGTAGTTTAAAAGATTTAAGCATACATAGGGACAGACAGACAGCAGAACGACTTTGTAGTGATAGTGATTTATAAAAAAGAAAAAGGAACCGCTAAATGTGTTGCTAAGATCAAAACTCGAAAACGGCTGGACCAATTCAGCATTTTTTTTTTGTTTAAAATATTCTTTGAAGTCAGAATTTTTGCCAATTCAAACATTTGTTTCAAATAATGACGTCAAACATATCAATCAAAATAAAATTGTGTTCGAAGATCGATGAAAATTTTCTTCTCTACCGGCAAACAAGTTCATCTTGATCGATAGGTTTATTTTATTTGTATGTCCATTTATAATCATTTCAAGACTCATGCCGCCTTTAAGACGCGACTGGAGCCGTTTGATTCGAAGACCTTCTTATGCTACAAAAACTTTAAAAGTCAACTATATCACACAGTCAGTCAGTTTATAAATATTTTAATTTAATCATCTAAAAATACAAACAAAACAGGAACAGTATAACTTGGGGATAAAAGCTACATCACTTCATTTTTTATTTTATTTCATTCTTATTTATTGAGTTATTTTTCTAATTAGCGCCCGTCCTAGCTTCGCACGGGTATTGTAGATATTGAATTTCTCGGCTTTTCTCTACTATAATATGCAACCTTCCGCTTGAAGCAATCGCATTAAAATTTAAAATCCTTTGCGTACATTAGAAAAACTAAGCTTACAAACATCGGGAGTGACTTTGTTTTATACTATGTAAAGATACTAACTACAGGTACAAAATAAATTGAAATGTAGCGCAATAACAACTTATTTTTTATGCTGCGAATGTTTACAAGATCTCCATCGAAAAACCTAAAAATGTTGGTCTGTGCGTCCGTCATTCTGTCTTTCTGTTTTTCCCAGAAAGATTCCCCGATTTTAACGGATTTTCTCTGCCATAATATTATATGTATCATATACGTATATTTTATGACATTTAAAAAAAACTGATGGTTGAAATTAATCGCTTGCGTCACCGCAGATTTAAGGTCACGCAATGTATACGCTTCTAAAATATCGTAATTTCCGCCTGTTTGAGTCTACTGCTGAACATAGGCCTCCACAGACTGTCACGAAGGTACGTGCGTACATAAATAAATTTTTTGTGAAATCTGCCAACTGAATAAACAATTGTTGTTAAATTTCACTCGAACAAAGTCGCGGGTAGGTTAGTAATAATATAAAATATTGGCATTATGAATGAAAAAAAATAAGTGAAAGCAATTGTATGTACTGTCCATATATACACAAAGGTAGTCAAAGTCAAAGTATCTTCAATATAGGCTTAATTAAGCTCTTATTGAACGTCAACCAAAAATCTACCAGTCTACAATCTAGTAGTACTTAATGCTTTATTTAGTTTAATATAATACTACCGTTGTGTAGTCAATTGTATTGTATAGGTGTTACAAATTTTATTTCTTTCTTATTTAATTAGTTTGTTTGAAAAATATCTTTTTTTAATTATGGATTTTTTAACGTTTTATATTTTTTTATGATTATTGGCAAGTTAGGCGTGTGTCCGTGTATTGTCGCGGTTGTAACGACGCGCTGAATATATCTTATCCTTTAAACGAGCGATTCTTGTATTTATATACATCACGCTACCTATTGTGCGTCCACTATGGACAAAATTGCATATAATCTGGCGTCCACCTGCTTTGGACGTCCGATATACGGACGTCGGATCGGAGAATGTTCTCAATGATCGCGGCTTGCCTTGGTGATATCAGAAAAGTCAAAAGTAAAAAAATAATTTGGACGTCGGTTCATCGGCAATCTTGCGTTTCTGTATATCAGATATATATATTCCTTTAGTTCCACTAGATTTCGTACCAAAAACTAACGGCGCTGTCGTCATTATTCTAACCTTTCATTGCTAGCCGTATGTGACGTCCAGCGATAGATCGAAATGCGACGTTGCGACATCGTGCACACCACTTGAATTTATACGATTTTGTTAATTGTTTATTATATTCGCGATTCGTGAGTATACACACTTTTCACAAGCTTTCACTTGATATGTGATATTGCGTCCGCCTTTTTAAGCGAAATGGATTGTTGTTTTCATTTTGAGTACATACTATTTTATAATATGAATTCAAGTAATGGTAGGTAAAAACGGACTTAACCGAATTCGAAAAAAGAAGGAGGCTCAAATCTTCTGTCCTTTATATTTAAGCCTGACTGGTTTTGTTTCTACTTTTTAACATACCTACCTTAATAATTTCTTGTATTTACGCGATTACACATTATAAATGAAACTAATTTTACGGATTTATCGCGTTTATTTTTAATTTAAGTTCCCGACGTTTCGAACCCTTTACAGCGTTCATGGTCACGGGACAGACTGAGGTGTTAGACGTCTGATTGTCAAAGTTTCCGGGCTACCGTCAGTTTTTATATTATTGATTTTGTGTCCGATCTATGCAGAGGGAGCTAATTGTATCTTGTCTTGCAGTAGTGGTTCTTTTGGGCTTAGATTTAGCCCAATACCTACCTTAATTTTTTATTATATGTTAAGTACAATAATTATTTCATTGCCAAATAGCAAAGTCGTTATGCCTCGACATAGAAGAATACATAAAAATGACTGTTATGACTAAAAACGTACTTAGTAAAGTATTATTTAGAATATAAAATAGTAAATAATATAAAGCAAAATAATTGTTTATTTTCACGATCGACCGTGGCATATTGTTTGTTGCTCATATGAATGAAACCGATTTTTTTTTATTTTCTTGGATTTCCTAAGTTTTGTTGCCTCCATTGTCCAAACATTATATTTATGATCATTATTATAAAGATGAATCCGATTGTTGTTGTTAATTTTACACTAAAATTAAAACGTTATTAGGTCAAATTATATAAAAAAAAAAATTTTATGTAATTTTTTAATATAAAATTAAAATGTTATATTTGAATCCGCGATTTTATTAATTTTACATTTGTTTCTGTTTATTGTTTAGCAGGCTTTAAACTAAGACATATAATGGTTATACACATATACGGACGTTATGACGTCCATATAAACACTGAATAAAACAATCAAAACTTCTTGTCAAACACTGAATTTAACAATCATTTGCATATTTTACAGGTATTTAGGTATTATACGAGTATACGGACGTTGCAATGTCGTAAAAGTTTCAAACTATTATTCATTTGACATCCTGGACGTCAAATGACAAATGTTCTAAAACTTTTACGACATTGTAACGTCCGTATATGTGTATATACATTATATGTCTTAGTTTAAAGCCTGCTAAGACATAAACAGAAAAAAATCTAATATTAATAAAATCGCGGATTGAAATATAACATTATAATTTTATATTAAAAATTACACATTAATATTTTTATTTTTGACCCATTTAACGTATTAATTAATGCTATCGTAATAAATGACATTTGAACTCATATTTTATTTTTCATAACCATAAACTTGACATTTACTCTAGCATTCCTGTTCTTTAGATATATAGTAATTATCCACCAACTTATTATATCTTAATACAGAAAGCACAGCGGCAACATCGCACTGTTCATAGGAGTTTTAATAGATAGGAAAATGTAAATAAAATTATGTATATTATGGGAAGCCAGATAAATGATAGTGTTGGGTGGAGTCCTAATTGATTTCACTATGCTTGTTAATATACGTATATTTGTATATAATAAGTTGTAAGCAGTGTTTGACACTGCCCTAGCGACTAATATTCGCAGTAAAAGTTGAAAATTTTTTAGTGGAACTGGTGGACGTCACAATAATGCCAAATGAAAGGGTGCCCAAAAGGTAGCGTGATGTATATATATATATATATATATTAAAAAAATGTTATAATAGCTCGGTCGGTAATCGGACGGCCGCTTTCTTTTGTGAAAAACACCAGTTCATATTTTCTTATTATTACGTCAGTAAGATCGAAACATATTATGCATATTTCATTACTTAGTAATTTGTATCTAAATGTAATTTCCAAAATACACGATTTACCAAAAAAAAAAAAACAAACCGAGCAAAGCTCGGTCCTCCAGGTACTATTTATTTTATTTATTTATTTGTGTTGAGGAGGGGGTGGTAATTTGGAACCCCACTTTGTTTTTTGAGTATTTTAACAAAACTATTAGACTAATCATCACAAAACTGTGTCTCTATATCTAAAAACTTATTAACTTTTATGTTTGAAACTAATTTATAAAATAAAATCACTCATTATAGGAAAAAAATTGCTTTCCTGGAAAAATAACAAAAATGTGTTCAAAGATCTGGTGCTGGTATTATGGAACCCGGGTTCCAAATTACAAGTATGAAATAAATTTACTTACAAAAATCACAAACATAAAACTCCGCGTCACATCCTGAGCATTCAATATGTGCCCACAACCTGTATGATTGGCACTGAATCCAAGTTTCATCCTGTTGATCGTTGGAGTAGTTTTCAGAGCAAAAAAAGCGTCATCTTGATTTGTGGGTTGGGCATGCGTGGTAACATTTTCTGACATTACAGTGTCACCTGAAGAAACAGAAGATTCCGAAGACGTCGAATCCTCGCTGTTTAGAGGAGTTCTAGAACACTCAACCCACCACTACGCCCACGATCGCCTCCCCAAAGTCTTCCCCGACATCTTCCCCGAGTTCTTTTTTTCTCAAGTTGCTGTTTGTAAGGAGATCCTTACAAACAGCAACTTGATGTTTGACGGTGGTAGGGCCACGCAGCGGTCAATATGTAATGCGGGTAATGTCGAACCCGGTTCCATATTACCTGCACCAATCGGGATCCAAAATTAAAACCTTACTTTGTTACCAAATTATCGAGAAAACAAAAACTAGTTCAAATAAATCTTAAAACTTACCTCAATGTAAACTTATGCGTATATACTTCGTGTAACACCTAATGTATTTACTTTTAAACAAAAACAAAAGTTTTGACAGTATTAGGAAATAAAAGAAAAAAAAAACATTTGCAGGTGACACAAAATTTCAACTTCTTATCTCGATGCAAAAATGACGCCAGTGGAGCGAATACGTTCAATGACATCAGTTCGACGTAATTTCATAGGTTTTCAACAGATTTCGTTGTCTGTTCCTGGGATATTAAGGGGTTTCAAATAATCAGCATGTTCCAAATTACCACCTCCTATACATGTGTCTATAATAGCTATATTAACAATAGCGTATACCTCGAACCCTTCTCACTGGTCATTGTATCCTCAGTAACATGGTTGCTTGGAAGAAATCGCTTCTAAGCGATAAGGCCGCCAATTGTATTGTGCCTTTATGTAATTGTGTGTTTCTTTTGTATTTTTTTCCGGTGTAAAATAAAGCGTATTTCATTAATTCATTCATGTCCCTTTGCCCTAGCTTACTTCGGCAAGCGGACGTCGGAGCTGCGGCTGAAGACGGCCCTGCGGACGGACGAGCGCGTCCGCCTCATGAACGAGATCCTGTCCGGCATCCAGGTCATCAAGATGTACACGTGGGAGAAACCGTTCGCGGACCTCGTGGCGAAGGCCAGGAAGTGAGTGAGCGATCTAACAGTGTAAAATTTTTTCTAAGACGCATTACGCATTACGCAGCTTTAAGGTGTCGAATGTACACGTGGTGTGGTGGGACTGTTGCCGATACACGCCAAATCGCTTCCTGTCTCTTTCCCGATACACTTTGAGACTTTGTCACACCACATACCAACGGCGCTTTTATTCGGTGCGCACGTGTGCTTCTTAAGTATTATTTTATAGAAAAGAGCTTTATCGCTGAGAGATAAAACAGCACTGTAACACAAAATTGTAGTATACAAAAAATGTTATCGTCTAATACATTATGTAATAATACATTATTATGTTTAATTAATATGTTGTTGATTTTTAAATAGAGACTAGGCTGTTGCGTTATAGAGTGAAATAATGTATCGGTTTTCAGGCAAACCGAACAAATTGGACAAATTTCTACGTTATAGAGAGTTTTTCGTTATAACAAACGATGTTACAAAGAGTTTACACTGTATGAAGTATTGCCGTTTTCTTACATTATACAAGCCCAGTGCGTAAACATAATGTTGATACGTGCATTGTCTTCCATTGAATTTTGCAATTTTTGATTATTACCCATTTTGCGAAGGCCTTTTGACATTTGTCGTGACGATGCATTTAGCCCCAATCGAGGTGAGCATGTAAGAGACCTTGTACCACTGCGACCATTACATTAATTGTACTCTCGAAATCACTTATCCGATACATGACAGACAATACAGTTTGTTTTTGTAATAAGCACATTAATATTAATTCACGTGAGGATATGTGTAGGTCAACTGACGTGACTAGAGCAATTGCCTCAAGATAATATGATAATATGTTATCAAGCAGTTAATCTATACAGATAAATAAAATTGGAGTGTCTGTTTGTAATATTGAAATAACCGCTTTTTACACGGTACATATACCAAAATAACTTTTTTTACACCTTTTGTATGTCTATCTGTCTGTTTGTTCCGGCTAATGTCTGGAACGGCTGGACCGATTTTAACGGGACTTTCACTGGCAGATAGCCGATGCAATTAAGAGTAACTTAGGCCACTTATATTTTAGATAAAATTTATTTATTTTAAATTCCACGCAGTCGCGGGCAGAGCTAGTGAATAATAAAAATCGGCTTACACATCATTTTCCACCGACGCAATGTTTGTTATTTTGTTAAATTTATTAAGTTACGTTAAAAATACAAATTTAATATGCATCCATAAATTATTGTGTAAGACTTTGGGCCTTTTCTTTGGACTCGATCAAATGTTTAAAAAGAGTCTTGTTAAAAATAATATCGATTTATTTAACAATTTTTTTTATTCAAGCATTGCTTGAAATGCGAAAAAAATTTTTTGAGAATGTTTTGACAAAATGTTGAGATTTTCTCAGGTGTACCTTTTACCTTATTCGTTAAAGCGTCTGGGCGCAAATTCGGAAGACGCGAGTTCGATTCCCGCAGCGGCGAGTCCTTTTTTTTAACTTTTTTTTAAAAAGAAATGAACAATAGTAGAGTTCAACTTCTCTTTATTTTTAGTTCAGATTGCCACGTTTTTTATAAGATCAATATCTGGAACATTTAGTTGAGTTCGTGCTGAGATTTTATGGCATATTTTAACCTGCCGTTAGGTTTAATGAGCTGATAAAAGCCTTGTTTAAATAATACAAGACGCAATCTTAGTCATATAGTATCTATTTAATTCTCTAAAAATTCTCTAGAAATAAAATCTAAATTTATTTCTTCATATTTGTTTTAAAAATTATACACGTCAAAAAGTCAAAACAACTGGATAAAGTGTGATATTTGCTAAAATAATTTGCTGAAATTAAAATTGTTTTTTATGCTATACGCAAACTTTTTAATCTGAAAATGAATTTTCTTTGATTTTATAAAAAAAATTTTGACGCTGGTAGGGCCACGCAGCAGCCTCGGCTGTTGCACGAATGGGCAGGCTCGTCCGGGTAAGTACCACGACCTCACAGAAGACCGGCGTAAATTGGAAGTATAATACTTTCGCGTTTCGTCTGGTGAGTGAGGTGTCAACGCATCTGCAAACCTCGGGTGTAGCGAATGTCCATGGGCGGCGGTATTCACTTAACATCAGGTGAACCGTCTGCTCGCTTGACAACTTTTCACATAAAAAAAATATATATACGGGAAAAAAATTAAAATACTTTTATTCCCTCATATTGGTGGATTTTTTCGTTGAGAAGTTTTGAAAATTACGACGATTTTTAACCTTAACAACATTTATTTATAGAACTTTAAAATTTCTGTATGAATTATTTTCTTAAGAATCTTGACTATTACATAAGAAAAAAAATTTTCGTTGTCCCGTGTGGGAATCGTACCCACGACCCCCGACGCCGAAGCCAATACCTTGGTAACTGCGCGACGGAGTCACCAAATGTCTTTATGTCTGCTGGTTGTTCAAATTTTTAACAGGACGGTACATTCGAACTCTGCATTAATTTCTTAATGGAACTATATCGCTAAAGGAGTTCCATTCCGTTCCAGGCAGGAGATAAAGCAGATCCGTGCGACGTCGTACATACGGGGTGTTCTAACCTCGTTCATAATGTTCACGACCCGCATATGCCTCTTCTTCTCAATCCTTGCGTACGTGTTGGGCCAGAACAACATCATCACCGCCAAGCAGGTGTTCGTCGTCACCAGCTTCTACAACATCTTGCGGCAGACCATGACGGTCTTCTTCCCTCAGGGTATGTTTGCCTCCGAGATTGATGGCAGTATAAATAGCATTTCACATTTAAATTTATTCACATGCATTTTAAGTATAATTTTCTTCGTTGGTCACAGATTAGATTACGATCAAGTGTAAAAAAGCAAAACTTTTTATTTATGTTCTTTTTTCTTTTTATAAAATGTTCTATGTTGATCTGTGATCTTTTCTAAAGTTTACGTGCCTGGTGGAACAGCCATTTTCTCTCAGTTTTATGTCAAAACAATATAAAAATTGTTTGTCAATGCGATGTACGTAAATACGTATTAAATTATAGTAGTAATTAGGCAAAATGATGTCTTTCCTATCAGTGACGTCGTAAAAAGGCAGCAACATAGCTACTCGAAATGTTATAAGTTTTTCTTGATGATTTGAATCTTTATTAACTGCACCAATCGATCTAATGTGTCCAAGAAGTTAATCGCTTACTTTTACTTATAACGTGAAAATATTTCATACTGGAATAATGGTGTGTTTCAGGTATTGCCCAAATAGCTGAAGCGACGATATCTATTAAACGCCTCCAGAACTTCATGCTCTACGAAGACACATGCAAACCCGTGCCCGGTTTAGCCGAAATACAGACGGCCGTCAAAAAGAAAGCAAAAGAAGGCAAAGAAGATATGGAGGGAAGGGAATCCGTTGTATCTAATAAAGGCGAAATGGAAGTTAAAGACGAGAAGAAACCAGTTCCTGAGGTTCCTGAGAAAGAGAAGTTGGACGAGGCTAAAGGCAACGGTTAGTATATCGGAAAATTTGAAGGGATATAATATATCTTATGTCAGTAAGATGTTGTTCTGTTTATCTGGCGGCGCTCGAAGCTACCACTATGATTCTAAGCTACCAATATGAATCATATTTATTATTGATGACAGAGTAAATTTCTATTAGTCTTTGTTAATTTATTTCCTCATAGAGAACCTAACGCCTATGTTGTCGTTCATCGTTTTTTTTTTTTTTTTTTTTTTTTTATGCGAAAAGTAAATAAAATAATAATAATAAAATATATATAATAATAATAATAATAAAATCATAATAAATGTTGATTTAGTCACGAATTGTTTTAATAAAATGTACTATGAATATTAATTAGACGGTAACTATCGTAAAATCCAAAGTGAAGCTTGTCACCATGTCTTCTAGTATACGGTGGAGTTTCTTAAGATTGAAAGCTATTTTCCCCTTCCAGGAAACGCCACCATCGCCCCTCTGGAGTCCGGCGAAGAGGATGACGAGGAGTTGGCGATGAGGGTAGAAGAAGACGCGCGTGGAGTTAGGCTGAAGCACGCCACAGCCAAGTGGATCGTCTCAAACGCCGAGAACACACTCACCGATATGTCGCTCACCATCAAGCCCGGCAAGTGAGTTTAGATTGAGCTTTACAGTTTGCGCCGAAGCTTATATACGCTTCTGCATATCGAGTTATATAATAATAATAAAGCCCTTTTATTCAGACCAACTTAGTATCTATTACAAAGTATTAAGAACAAAAAAAAAGAACATGGACATACATCTATATCTATATATATATATATATATATATATATATATATATATAATATATATTCTAGATAAACTGATCTTAATTACTTCTATATATTCTTATACTATCGAGTTATATACATATTTCTTAAGTTCTCGAAAAATCTTTGTACGAATTTTTTACCTTAAGTTCAGGTAGCAAGCGATATGCCGGCTCACCTGATGATAAGTGATAATTAACCATGGACATTTGCAGATTCGTTACCACCTATTATTAAAGTGGGCCTCATATACCTCACACCAGATGAAACGCAGAATTATATCACTTCCACTTCACGCCGGTCTCCTGTGAGGTCGTGGTACTTACCCGGACCTGCCCATTCGTGCAACAGCATAGATTGTTGCGCGGTGGTACCACAGTCAAGTGTTGCGGGTGTACATCGGCGGTTGCTTGTCTCCGTTTCCATAAAAAAAAAAACTGTACACGTAACTATCCCTCTGTAATAGTCACTTTTTGTTCCTGTTTCAGATTGATAGCGGTGATAGGCCCCGTGGGTGCGGGGAAATCGTCCCTTTTGCACGTGCTGCTGAGGGAGCTGCCGTTGCAGTCTGGCAGCGTGCACGTGGGCGGCACGGTGTCCTACGCCAGTCAGGAGCCGTGGCTTTTCGCCGGTAAAGACACCCGGAACAATATTAGACTGTATTGCTATCTCCATAAGAGTCACTTCCTAATGGCAATTCTCATCTTACAATAAAATTCGGCGCTTAACGATTAGTTGGTCGCAGAATTTGTCTGTAGCTACTTTAATAAGAATAAACGTATTTTTCTTGGCTCATATGGCTCATATACAGGGAGGCTTTTTTAAATGGCCCAAATTTGCTCAGGAGGTTCAGACTCGGTAGTATAATCGTTTATTGAAATAAAAACAAACTTTTTTTTTCCAAAAAATTCTCTAAAAAACAGAACTTGTTGACAACGCGGTACTCATTCATATTATCTTAGTATAGAAATAAGTCTAAATAATTAATAATAAGCTTTGTGTAAAAACGTGTCCTGGAATATTAATTATTATTATATAATGCGCTTTACTTTTCTGATTTTGCGATCCCTTTAAGTATTCTTGTAGTGTTTTAAAGTACTGAAACATTTTATTTCGCAATTGTATCTCGTTCGACATCATCACTGTAACGAAATCTACAACTGCTGACTTCTAAATATTCTTTTTCAGGTAGCGTCCGACAGAACATTCTATTTGGGCAGCCCATGGATCGACCCAGGTACAACACAGTTGTCAGACGCTGCGCCCTGGACAGAGACTTCACTCTGTTCCCTCACGGCGACAAGACTGTTGTTGGCGAGAGAGGCGTCAGCCTCAGTGGGGGTGAGAAATCATTCTAATTAATATTATTAATAAGATATGTGAAGCAACCTAATTCGCGTGCACTGGATACATGCAAAATAGCTTTGCATAACCCTATCGTCCCGTACAATATGCCCCAAAACACTGAAACCCTATAATTTTTTTTAAGATTATTTTCCATTTTTAGTGCTAGTATTTGCACTCACGATGACATTTTAAATTGAAAATTTTTTGTAAACAAATTGCATTAAAAAAAAAAAACAATTTCAATTCCTTGAAAGGTTTTCTTTCGACTAAAACAAAATAAAATTAATAGCATAGCCTTTTCAAAGGCCACTTTGTTTGTATGTTTATGTATACGTATTTCGGTGAAGGATCACAGGCGCTCATTTGTCTCCCGTTGTCCGTTGCCAGGGCAACGGGCGCGCATCTCGCTCGCGCGCGCCGTCTACAAGCGCGCCGACATCTACCTACTTGACGACCCGCTGTCGGCGGTGGACGCCCACGTGGGCCGCCACCTGTTCGAGTCGTGCGTGGTCGGCTACTTGCGCAACACCACACGCATCCTGGTCACGCACCAGCTGCAGTTCCTCAGGGACGTCGATCAGGTACGGCCGTCACGCACGAGAACAAATAAAGGAAAATTCCAAAACATTTTTAGTACTTACAAGTTATTTATTTCATGCGAAAAGTTGTCAAACGAGCAGACGGTTCACCTGATGTCAAGTGAATACCGCCGCCCATGGACATCTGCTACACCCGCGGTTACAGATGCGTTGACAACCTTTTGAAAATTGGGCTCCGGCTACCTCACTCACCAGACGAAACGCGAAAGTATTTGTCATACTTCCACTTTACGCTGGTCTTCTGAGGTCGTGGTACTTACCCAGACGGGCCTGCCCATTCGTGCAACAGCCGAGGCTGCTGCGTGGTCCTACCACCGTTAATGCCCTACCATTGTTAAAGTTTAAAGTTTTCGCGAAAATCTAAATTTGCCCATATATTTTATCGTGTTGACTCAGGACCTTGATTTTTATGCACCTAATAGGGACACAGACCTCAGTATATCACTACATAGTATAAAACAAAGTCTTCCCGCTGTCTGACCTTACCTATGTATGCTTAGATCTTTAAAACTACGCAACGGATCTTGATGCGGTTTTTTTACTTCATAGAGTGGTTTAAGAGAAAGGTTTGTGTGTATAATACTTTGCACCCGCACGAAGCCGGGGCGGGTCGCTGTTCTTGTATAAATTTCAACCTGCTAAGCCCACCGGTTCCTGAGAAAATCGGCGATGACTCACGGACAAGACAGTGATACGGGTTCCTGTTTTGTACCTTTTAATGTACGGAATCCCAAAAATGGCAGAAAGCAGGCAGTACATCTGATGTTAACATAAACGCCATAGTGAACTTCCACAACTATTTTAAAACTGCAATAGGTTTGTCAACATGTAACCACCACACTCACAATGCGAAATACAAAGCATAAATACTTCTACTACTTCCCTTTCTTTGATTCGAGGTACTTCCCTGGGGAGCCTGCTTATGCAACAGTAGGAACTACAGCGCTTGCTGTACAACTGTAGAAGTTAAATACTTTTTAAAAGAAGAAGAAAATAGAACGCAAAGTTGGCCTCGGTTTAGGGCTAACGCTGGGTCCTCTTTTATTATGGCGAAGTGAGCTTCGAAATCATAATGATATCGTGTACACTACGTACACTTGTTCGTCGGACAGTACTCGAGGTATCTTTCTCGGGACGTTCCCTCAGACATTTAGATGATATTCAATATATCTATCATATATGATGATAATGTTATGTATGTTTTAACCAACCGCAAAAGGTAAAGAAAAGGACGTTATAAATGCAAAGCTATTGATAATGATAACATACCAAATATTTTAATCATGTTTTCGTTTTTATTATGTTTTAACTGATCTTATATCTGGTATTGCCAACAGAAGCACGACGATGTCTGTAAGGTTGGTGGATATAAAAAAATGCATGAGCTTAGATGATAAAAAATCATCGCACCTTGGTCAATGACGACACTCAAATAATGCAACATACATACAACATTAGTATAGATTTTCAATATATCGTAATCCCCCCATATTTGTAGTTATATTTACTAGTTAGATTTGCATATAAATACAATTTTATCTTTATAAGCTTGCGTAGATTCGTTAGTCTAATGGCCCGTGTTTACGCGTCTAAACCTATTTCATAGAACATGCATGTATACATACGTGTTATTTAGAATTTCTTTCATTCAAATATTGATACATTGAATGGGATATAAATTTGATCTGGCTCATTTTTATTTTACGCAACAATTAAAAAAAATATTTAGATAACTTAATTTTTTATGTGAGAAGGTGCAAGCTAGCTTGCGGAGCTAATATTATGTGATAACCACCGCCCATGGAAAGGTTGCAGATGCGTTGCCACCTTTTAATAAAGTAAAATTTAATCGAACATCAGTTGGATGCTCGAATAACAATTTATATATTGCTTTATAAACAGATATATAGGTACATTTATTTATCAATAAAATTTATCGTTTTTTAATAAAATCTAAAAGAAGTGTCATTCGATTAACTATGAATTTATTTTTTCAAGTCGTTTTTCGTATTTTTGCTTTATGCGTTTTTATCGTTTTAATCGGCAGATAATAATTTTGAAGAACGGCTCCATAGCGGCGGCCGGTGATTTCGACACGTTGAGCGCTTCCGGCCTGGACTTCGCGTCTCTGCTGGCGAAGGGCGAGCCGGAGGAGGAGCGGCCGAAGCCGGCACAGGACACGTCGGCCAACGACCTGGAGGACTCCATGCTGCAGGGCAGCTTTCGGAAACGGCAAATGAGTATACACTCTGTGAGTTGAATAAGTTCAACGACGCTTGCGAGTCTTTTTTTTAATGTAAATAGTTGCCAAACGAGCAGCTGGTTCAACTGATTTTGAGTGAATACCGCCGCCCATGGACATCTGCTACACCCGAGGGTTCCAGATGCGTTGACAACCTTTTGAAAATTGGACTCCGGCTACCTCACTCACCAGGCGAAACGCGAAAGTATTTTACTTCCAATTTACACCGGTCTTCTGTGAGGGCGTGGTACTTACCCAGACGAGCTTGCCCATTCGTGCAACAGCAGAGGCTGCTGCTGTGGCCCTACCACCAGGAACTGAGTCTGATTTATTTAATATTTTTGGCGCGCTTGGAAAAATTATGTGAGTAAAATTTTAACGATGCGCGGCCATACCCATAGCCAAACAGGGACATGATGCTTGGTAACTGATTCAATCTTGGCAACCAATAAGAAATTTTTGACTTATTTACCAATAATTACTAGTTATTTAAGTAATCTTTACGCTGAAGCAGTATAACTTATCACGTGCGTATATAAGTACACACTTTTTTTTTAACATAAACTTTTTGAGGAAAAATTAACTCATTAAACAATTATAATGTAATCCAGCTGCGATGAAACCGAACTGCCTAAAAAATAAAATATTTAAAAGTCACACGAGCCGTTGATACGCAGTTTATAACTTGGCATTATAGGTGAATGTGCCGTGGTAACACCATTGGCGTCGCTTTAAGGTGTCGCGCATCGTAAAAATTCACTTCATACTTCCCGAACGCGCCTATACACGTGGATGCTTCATAGTAAAAAGAAACGCGCTTGCTTTTTTTTATGTGAGAAAGTGGCAAACGAGCTGGCCATTCGTGCGACAACGAACGATGTTGCGTGGTCCTACCACAGTTGTCCGTGTATGGTCCTACTACAGTTGTCTGTATGTGGCCCAACCACAGTTGTCTGTGTGTGGTCCTACCACAGTTGTCCGTGTGTGGCCCCAACACAGTTGTATGTGTGTGGTCCTACCACAGTTGCCGTGTGTGGCCCAACCACAGTTGTCTGTGTGTGATCCTACCACAATTGTCCGTGTGTGGCCCTACCACAGATGTCCCGTGTGTGGCCCCAACACAGTTGTCTGTGTGTGGTCCTACCACAGTTGTCCGTGTGTGGCCCCAACACAGTTGTATGTGTGTGGTCCTACCACAGTTGCCGTGTGTGGCCCAACCACAGTTTATGTGTGTGGTCCAGTTGCCGTGTGTGGCCCAACCACAGTTGTCTGTGTGTGATCCTACCACAATTGTCCGTGTGTGGCCCTACCACAGATGTCCGTGTGTGGCCCCAACACAGTTGTATGTGTGTGGTCCTACCACAGTTGTCTGTGTGTGGCCCCAAAACCGTTGTCTGTGTGTGGTCCTACCACAGTTGTCTGTGTGCGTGCAGGTGAGCTCGGTGGACAACCTGACTGGCGCCGCGCCGCCGGAGGGGGGGCGCGAGGAGGCGGAGCTGCGTTCCGCCGGCGCTGTCTCCGGCGCCGTGTACGGGGCGTACCTGCGCGCCAGCGGGCACCCGCTGCTGGTGGCGCTCATGCTGGCTGTCACCACGCTAGCGCAGCTGCTCGGCTCCGGCTCCGACTGGTGGACCAGCTACTGGTGGGTGGAGTAAAAAAGAAATTAAAAGTAGTACGCGTGCACATACGTACGCACGCGAGGAGTTACGATACTTCAGCGTGAAGACATTATTGCAATTGGTGATGTTTTATTTAAATAAGTTGGGATTATTGGTAAACGCCAGTAAGTTAATGGTCGCCAAGATCAAATGGGGAGAAAGGTTCTCGAGTGGCAACCTCGTACTGGCCATCGCAGTGTGGGACGAACCCCCACTAGATAGAGTGACGACCTGTGCGAGTGTGCGGGAAGTCGATGGCTGCAGGTGGCTCAGGATCGTACTTCGTGGCAGTCTGTGGGGAATGCCTTTGTTCAGCAGTGGATTCAAAAATGTTGAAATGATGGTGTTGATGCCAAGATTTAATCGGTTACCGAGTGGCATTACAAATATTACTCTCATAATGGCTACGGTCGGTGGCTGCTCTTAAAAAACAAGAAATCGTATTTGGTATTGTATTCGCGCTACTGGTAGGCGGCGGTTTTAAGAGCAATTAAAAGGAAAACAAACAAGTTCGAATCGTATTTGGGTCAGGCATAAATTTGTTTGTCCTTCCAACACTTTTTCCCCTTTATTCGCTCTGATAAACTTCAGCTCCAAATTTCAGCACATGTCTTGTGGTCTTTAGATTACGTTAACTTTAGGTATTTGTTTTCAATGCCGTCACCGCACCTTAATATTTGCCGTTGATGAGAGCTTGACAAGTCTCTTTACCAATTTAAGCACTTACTTATTACTTTGATTGACTGGATGTCACGGATGGCCAGGAACTGGATACAGATTTTGAAGTCGATTGATCGTTACGTTTTATGTATAAACTGATTGAATTACATTTAAAAGATCAAATATTTACAAGATTTAATCTATCTAAAATTACATATTATCTAATAAACCTAATCCACGCGGCATGGTGCCAAGAACGCTAGCTGCATTTTCTCGCTGAATAGTTATGCTTAACCTTTGAGCCAGAAAAGAACCAGCCCTCTTGTCACCAGCCGCGGCGTTAAGCCTAGGACATAAACTTTTAAAAAATTTTGATGTGCGGGGACCCCACGTAGCTTGAGTTCAGCTTGATTCATTAAGAGATAAATTTAGAATTTTTTCTAGAGCAGATTTAAGATGAAAAAAAAAAAGAATAACATAACAGAAGAACATTTAAAAATAATTATTTAGATCCTCAAAAATAGATCATCTTTCACACCCCATATTGACTATGCTTATGGCAATAATTCAAAATGTTTATTTAAAGCACTTGAACAATATAGAAAAAAGTTGGCAATACCCGGTTTTATACATACGACGTATATATAATAGGTACGGCGTGTACTTAATTAAGGAACGTGTTCTCATCCTGCAGGGTTAATTTAGAAGAGGCGTTGCCATCGTCGTTTGTTAGTGCGCTGGACGCAGACAACTCGACGGATGCAACGAAACTAACGGAGAACATGACTAGCCCATTCGTGGAGAACGCCCAGTTTATCACTTCCGATCTTTCGCGCTACGACTGCATATACATTTATACTGGTTAGTATTTATGTATAAATTTATTCATTTATATATCCCCGGTAAACGTTGTTTTGCCATATTCACCATTATTCACCGGAGTTCAAAATCATAATTCATAATGAAGATGAATAGTTTAAGTTCAATTAGGGTTTTGCAAAGGCGCGCTATTATCGCTGCCTCCGCCTGTGGGAATAATGCTGCCAACTCAAAACCAAGTACACTTTTACTAGCAAAAAACCACTTCACATATCTCACTGAACATTTTCTGTTTGATTTTGAGGTTCTCCCTTATATATCGGAAATGAACGTCTGATAATATTGCAATTATATGGGAGCTAAATCGAACCTGATGCAAATATAACTTTTGAAATCAGTTCATAAACGACAGAGGTGGGAAAAACAATACAACCGAATTGAGAACCTCTTTTTCTGGAGTCGATTGAAAACATTTGAATCGGTCGGTGCTTCGTCCTCACTTTTCTCGTGTCATTTTGGACTCTACGGCGTAGTGATTAAGGTGCTAAATCCCGCAGCGATGGTGGTGGCGCTGGTGGCGGTGTCGCTGCTGCGCTCGTTCATGTTCTTCTCGATGGCGATGAGCGCGTCCACCCGCCTCCACAACAACATGTTCGCGTCCATAACGAGGGCGCCGATGCGCTTCTTCCACACCAACCCATCGGGCAGGATCCTGAACCGCTTCTCCAAGGACATGGGCGCGGTGGACGAGGTGCTGCCGTCCGCTTTACTCGACGTACTGCAGGTGCGTATATTATATTGATGAATGAAGACATACTGTCTACAATGAGCTAGCAGCTGTTACGAATAGTCGTTGAAGTCAAACTTCTAATGCGACTCCCAACAAGGTTGCGTTAAACGTTTAACGCTACCATGGAGGGGGTATGAATGCACTTTTACGTTAAACGTTCAACGCTCCTGGGGAGGGGGAATAGAAAGAGACAGAGCAAGAGTGAATGCGTGGCACTCGAAGTTTCGCTACTTCCGCGCGGAGGGACTCCACACACTATTTCTTTTTTTAATTACCAATTATGCTTAAAGCATCCGGCGTCTGGCATTACTGCAACAGCTTATCAACTACCGCACTCAACGTCAGTGTGCTTGTGCCGCTATATTTTTGAAACGCCGAAACTAGCCTGTTGTACAAATTAGTATAGACTTAGTTGAAATATCAAATGAGTTCATTTTTGCTTGAAGATAATTCAGTATATTATTGATTTATGCGCCGGATTACTGTTACTGTGATTTGTCGTGTTAGTTATTAACAATCACTTTTATGAACGTGGGACATCCATGTTTTATTTGCGTTAGTTGCAAAAACGTAGTTACCTTGACTGATACCTTTAAACGCAAACTATTCCGCTTAAGTAGCGCTAACGCGCAAAAGTTACGGCTTTAGCCTTAACAGAAGCTCTATTTGTTTATTTATTTATTTATTACCAAAAATATAGTTAGTGTTTGATGGGTCCATAGCGCAGTTAACAAAGTATTGGCTTCGGCGCTGGAGGTCGTGGGTTCAATTCCCACACGCGACGACTATTTGTTTGACCCACGCATTTTCGGATCTAGATGTACGCCCACGTCAAATTTATGTTTGTGAAAACTCCTATCAACACTGTTATGATAATTTAATCCTACATTAAGGTCAATGTTTAACAAAAAAATAAGGAAACTAATAACTAAACGAGCTCACTCCAATGCACCACTAATTAAAAATGGTTGATTACAGATCGGCCTATCGCTGATCGGTATTGTGGTGGTGGTGGCGATTGTGAACTGGTGGCTGCTGGTGCCGACCCTGGCCATCGGCGTGATATTCTACGGCCTGCGTATAGTCTACCTGGCGTCGTCGCGGAGCATCAAACGCCTCGAGGGTGTGAGTAAGTCATCTTGGTCGAATTTTTCTGTATTTTTTCTCCATTTTTAGTTTCATATTTTTTTTAATGAGTAAAGTTGTCCAGTGAGCAGGCAGTCCTCCGATGTTAAGAGCGATGGATTGCAGATGTGTTGACAATCTTTTAAAAAGTGGGCCCGATCAACAAACATCGTTAGCGACAGTGCTCAATGGTGAAGGAAAAGATCGTGAGGATATTTTCTAAATAATATAAACAAATATTTCTAAGATATCTGAAGTCCGCCAACCCGCAGTGAGGTCTATGCTCTTATACCATATAGGCTGTTACTTAACTTTACGTATTACAGTTTTAACCGTTCATCAGATATCGACCGAAATCATTGTTTATTTGTTCCCACAGCCCGCAGTCCAGTGTTCTCCCACCTGAACGCGTCTTTGCAAGGCATCACGACGATACGTGCATTTGGCGCCCAGGAAGCTCTCATCAGGGAGTTCGATCATCATCAGGACCTCCATAGTTCAGCTTGGTATGTCTTTATTAATTTTTCACACAATTGTATTATTTTATTTGTATTTTGTGTGGAAGGCTTTGGATGGTAAATCCCAGCGACCGCTGCGACGCAGAAAGATCTATAGTAGTCTTCCCTTCGAAAACCTTGACTCCTTATTTTAGAATAAAATTATCCTGTGCTGTCTGTTTGTGAGGACTGTTGTAGTAGGTTTTACATATATAAATTTCACGTGGACCAACGCCCAGATCGGAAACGATTATCTGTGGCTCACACAAACAGTTGTCCCGTGCGGGAATCGAACCCACGACCCCCGGCGCCGTTGCCAACACCTTGGCAACTGCGCCACGCAGTCATTAATATATATTTAAATTGTGTGTAATATTGGTAGCGCGTGTGTTACATATTAATCTATCACGTGCAGCACCATACACTTGAGATAAATGACAGTTCTTGGACAAAAAGGAAATGCAAATAACAAAAAGAAAATATGCCTAAACGTTCTTAATATTTCACTCTTGATTTTCTCCTTCACTTGTCGAATCGCTGTCGTCTATGACGTTTAATGTCGAAAACAGTACTCTTATTGATTTGTGGGCCACATAAAAACTGGGAGGGGGAGGATAACACAAAAATCTGTCTATCCCGATAAACATAAAAATCCTAAAAGACGCCATATACACTAATCGGACTCTGATCAATACAATCATATTCCGATGCATTGCCGTGTAATGTTTTTAGGTCTTTAGTATTTTTAATGGGCAACACTCCAGTAATAAAAAAACTATTAATACCAAGTGAGGCGCCTTAGGTTGTTACTGGTGCATGTGCCTTTAGCAATGGGAGACATAATTGAATTCATTGTTGTTTTACGCTTAGAAACATTCTCAAATCGAAACGTTATTAAATCCCTATTTGTTATTTTTCCTTATCAACTTATAAATTGTTCCAAAGAACTTAAATTTTCATTCGATTAAGCGTACTGTTGGAGCTTATATGTATGTAAGTAATGCTAAGGGATTTTTTTAGTATTAAAATAATGTATTGTTCTGTGCAGGTATTTGTTCATCGCGAGTTCACGTGCCTTCGGTTTCTGGCTGGACCTGGTGTGCGTAGTCTACATTGCTATCGTTACGCTGAGTTTTCTCGTTTTCGATCAAAGTAAGTTTATATTATATCTCTAAACACGTTTCTTTCCAAAACTTAAATTCTGTTAGTATTAATGTTTGGTCCGATTTACATCTACTTCACGCACCGTATGTTCTCTAAATTTGGTACATTTATCTGTTTTTATTTTGTATTCTAGTACCCATTCTTTGCTAGAACTTTATAAAAATACTCACCCCAACACAGTAAGAAATCCCGATCGTTGACAACGATGTCATGTTCATGTACATATATTGATATGCATAAACATGACATTGTAGGTTACACGGAGAATACTCTCCTTATAGGCATGAAAGAATAAGCCGATAATTCGCTATTTCGTTGAACTTCGCCACTTTACAGACGAGTACGGGGGCAATGTGGGCCTGGCGATCACACAGGCGATGGGCCTTACGGGAATGTTCCAGTGGGGCATGCGCCAGTCAACCGAGCTTGAGAACCAGATGACCAGCGTTGAACGGTAACGAATAATCCTAGAAAAGCATTAGGCAAATTATTATTATTAATTAATAATTTGAACTTCGCCAAGGCCGAGTGGCTGTTAAATTACGCGGATATTTCTTAATAGTTGGGATGATGGCATAAATATTTTTATTTATTGCTAGTTAAAAATGAAAACGATTTATTAAATTAATATTGACTGCAAAGGCGGAAGGAATGTAAATTAAGTTTGGTGCGCTTTAATTACTTTTTTTCTCTCTAAAAGTCACATCCAGAGTACACCTTGCATAAATGTTGAGTTTTCGTCGATACTATTTTCATTGTCGAATTATGCGTTTAGTTAGAATGCTAAGTCGGCAACCGTCCCATCACCTATCGCATAGAAATTAAAGTCGGGATCCTTCAAGAATGCAGCCCATTCTAACGGAAAAGACCAGCACTCGCTTTCTTATTTCCATCCATGTCTATAGAAAATCCTTACTAGGGTCGACGAATGCGGTGAACCTGTGTTGATATCATAACGTAACAATTGCAGCATCCAAGAGTACTCCAAGATAGAGTCGGAGCCGCCGCTGGAGTCGGAGCCGAGCAAGAAGCCGCCGCCATCTTGGCCGGAGGCGGGGCGCCTCGAGTTTCGCCGCGTATGCCTTTACTACGCGCCCGGCGAGCCGCCCGTGCTGCGCGAGCTGTCCTTCCTCGTGCTGCCCAGGGAGAAGGTGGGCATAGTGGGCCGCACCGGCGCCGGCAAGTCCTCGCTCATCAACGCCCTCTTCCGGTACGTGCCCGTTCGACGTCGGACCTACTTCTCACCATGACTGTACATAGCAACACACAAAAATGACCCTCGGTGAAGCTCTGCCCGTGTACTGTCGAGTGCATCAATTAATCTATCGTTTAATTAATGTACGTATTATGTATAGAGATATCAATATTCTGAAAATCGATATGAAATGTGTCGGGGTGATTTATCGTCATGAGTTATGAGTCTTCCTATCGTCCATCTGTCGGTCAACGATAGGAAGACTCATGTGCCTCGAGAAAATTTGCTTTCGAGTTCTGCCTACCGTCCTACCGTCCACCTACCGTCGAGTGCAACAATCAATGCTTATGAATAAAAATACGTAATATGTAAAAGCTTTCTATTCTTTTTGCTTGTATTACATTTTAGGTCTCGTTATTGTACAATTGAAAGCCAAAACAAACATTTTCCTCAATGTATGCTAAAATTTTAAACAATGAATGAAATGAACGGCTGGACCAGAGTGACCGGCAAAATGTCACGGTCTAAAGAATCGTATTAAAACAAAACTCTTCTTTTCCATTTCGCCCGATGATAAACGCTACCATAATCTTGACATCAGGTGGATCGGCTGCCCATTTGACACATTCTATCATTAAAGGGTACTCTTACTTGCATTAAGGCCTTGGACAAGAAATACAGCGGCATGCATCACTTCTGTGTATTAGATTTCTTATGTACACATGACCAATGTTGCCCAACCTTGTTACCTTACAATATAGTCACCATTTATCTGACATTTTGACTTACATTGTCTCCTTACATTGCTTGACCTGGTCCATCCTCGTGACTCGGCCGGTCTGTGAGCAATGCCGTAGAAACATACACATTCACGTCGCAAATATTTCAGATTTTAGTGCAGTGTAAAAATAAAAACAATAAAAACACAACCTCCAACAGACTGGCGAAGATCGAGGGCGAGATCATAATCGACGGCCGCGAGACCTCCACGCTGGGCCTCCACGAGCTGCGCAGCCAGATCTCGATCATCCCGCAGGAGCCGGTGCTCTTCTCGGGCACGATGCGCCACAACCTGGACCCCTTCGACGAGTACCCCGACCAAGTGCTGTGGCGCGCGCTCGAAGAGGTCACTATTAGTTGTTAACTTTCCTACCTTCACACCACGCTTTAAAGGTCCGCCGTAAAGACACGGTCGTTGCGCGTCACGCAGACTATTAAAGCAGAGAACGCCGAGCTCGTGGGATGGTCACATACCTTGCGCTTGATACGGCCCTCCGCGTCGGGTAGGGCCATATCTGTGGTCGTGGTAATTACCTGGAGGGATAAGTACTCACAGAAGACGGGTGTGAAGTGTTTTATACGTCCGTTTTTCGTCTGATGAGTAAGGTAGCCGGGGCAATGTATTTGAAACCCTACGGGTGTTACAAAAATGTCCATGGGCGGCGGTTATCGCTTAACATCAGGAGAACCGCCACCAAGCTTGCCATTTTATCGTATAAAAAAAATGGAGGTTCCGTACGGATCATGACCCCGATGGTTATTGACTGTAGCGGGTGAGAACGGCCCTAGAACGCGGGTGGGTGCACCTTGTGTACGTCGTGCTGATGAACTATTCGGTTGAGCGTACTCTTACTATGCGTGAAGGGTATTGGCGGATGGACGGACCCCCGGTGAGTCTGAAACGCTTGCCGCCACCTAGTGAGCAACTTGACTGTCCATTACATAATATGCGCAAACTCAAATAACATTTAACATTGAATACGAACGAGATAATTGACTCGGAGGTCTGCGCAGGTGGAGCTGAAGGACGCGGTGATGGAGCTGGCGGCGGGGCTGAACTCGCGCATGTCGGAGGGCGGCAGCAACTTCTCGGTGGGGCAGCGGCAGCTGGTCTGCCTGGCGCGCGCCATCGTGCGCCGCAGCCGCCTCCTCGTGCTCGACGAGGCCACCGCCAACGTCGACCCGCAGTCAGTACCGCGCTCGTCCCAGGCATTGCCCCCTTCCCTCTGTGTGACGTAAGCCCAGCGATGCAACTGACGACTTTCATGATGAACTTTGGCCACCGCCAACGTCGACCCGCAGTCAGTACCGCGCTCGTCCCAGGCATTGCCCCCTTCCCTCTGTGTGACGTAAGCCCAGCGATGCAACTGACGACTTTCATGACGGAAGTTGGCCACCGCCAACGTCAGTGCCCTGCTCGCCCCAAGCCCTTGTATTGCTACTTCGCTCACTCTGCTAGCGTCAATAGAGCGAATAAACAGATGACTCGTGACGGAACTTGGTCACCGTCAAAGTCAACCCACGGTCAGCGCTCTGCTCCCCCTGGCCCTGTATTGCGAGTCCCAGTCTAATGAGTAGCATTAATGCAAAGCAACAGACGACTTTCATGACGGAACTTGGCCACCACCTACTCCGCTGCCCAATCAGTGCTTTTTTTTTAATCCGAATTTGTTTTGGGGTTTTTATCCTTTTTTGCATATGTCAACCCCATTGTGACCATCTCATTTCTATTCATAAAAATACACTATATCTTAGGTATTGTGAGAATACAGAAGCTGCACAATTTTTTTGCATCATCCGAAATTGGCAGAGACAAGATTGACTGCGCAATTCCTAAGTTGAGAGTTTACGTTCAAGGCTCCCATCATATCCTCTCCCATCTTTTTGTTCTTGACACATTCCATCAAAACATGTTGTACATCCTCCTCAACTTCACACAGATTACAATTCGGAGAGTTTGTTTTTTTCTTAATGTATGCAAATTTGTAATAAATAGTAATCTACGTGAAGCAACCATTTATACGATACCGTTTCCTTTGGCGAGTGCGGTAACCGGGGCCCACCTACCCAAGTATTGCTTATTGTGCACACTGGTGTTGTTACTCGGTGCATGTTTATTGGCAGACATAACAACTGACCGTCGATCGAAACAACATGCTTGGTTGCGACATATTCACATCTGGAATCCTATATTCAAATCCATTCACACTCTGTGCTGTGAAGAGGGATGGAACACTGTTGTTGACAATTGTAATAGTAGTATGCCTCGTTCTACGTAGTAAGTTAATACAAGTATTTCTAAGTATAAAATTAATGTATTATTTCAGAACTGATACGTTAATCCAGACTACTATAAGAAACAAATTCGCTGAATGCACCGTCCTCACAATCGCGCATCGGTTACACACTGTTATGGATTCTGATAAAGTAAGTGTGTTTTCTGTGCGAGTGTGCGGGAAGTCGATGGATGCAGGTGGCTCAGGATCGTGCGTCATGGCAGTCTGTGTGTTCAGCATGGATTCTGAAATATGATGATGAAGTGTGTTTTATGTTTTCATTGAATCTTTAGGAATTTATAGAGAATTGGTATTGCCATTAATAAATGCATTCGATTATGTCTATTGCCATATTAAACATTGAGATGACATAATGTGGGATAAGTTCTGAGATTCGATTGCACTTCTCTCTCATTTCTTAATTCATATATTTTAATTTCAATTATTTAAATCTACCCATAACTTGAATTTAGTAAAAGGCATCTTCAGTTTATCCGATACAATAACGTTCACACTACTTAACCATAGTGATTAAGTAACATAATCCCCATCTGACCTTTCATTTTAAAGTATGCTTGTGAACTTTTTAAAGATCTTTTTTATAAATTTGTAGTTTTTTTTTTTTTTTTATATAGTGCTACTCTCTGCACTTACAAATTTATAAAAAAGAATGGCGACATCTCTCGTTCGTATTATCGTTGTAAAACGATATTCGAAATTGTTTGTATGCTGGAAAGGATATAACAATAGATGCGCCAAGCATTGCTTCAAATACTAAATAACAATTTAGAAAGAACGCGTTAAGATTTTCGTCGCTGTGGCTATCAGCCGTTTAGCTCAGTGGCTAGAGCGTCAGGCCGCGCATGCTGAAGACGTGGGTTCGATTCCCACAGCGGCGACAATCTTTTCGTACTTTTTCTACATGTTTTAATCTTTTTTATACCTTATTCCAGGCTAGGATTTTTGTAACCGATCGCTGGCCTGACGTCAACCCTACTTAGGAATAAACAACCAGATTTGGATCACTTATATCTGGGTTACACAAACTCTTGACTGTTTTGGGAAGCGAATTCATCATCATAATCATTTCAGCCTATTTGAGTCCACTGCTGAACATGGGCCTCCCCTACAGACTGCCACGAAGAACATTCCTGAGCCACCTGCGTCCATCGGCCGGCTAACTAATAAACTAATATCCGAAGCGCGACGGTCAGCGCTCGGTCCACTGTGATTCTAGTTAAAATTGCAGCTTATTATTTTTCTGATAACACACTTAAAAACGAATAAACTGTTGCAGGTGCTAGTGATGGACGCGGGCCAACTGGTGGAGTTCGAGCACCCTCACGTGCTGCTGCAGAAGAGCGACGGCGTGCTGAGGGCCATGGTCGACCAGACGGGGCGCGCCATGGCGGAGACACTGGCCAGGGTCGCCCAACAGGTCGAACGAATACATTCATTGTATACATGTTTACATAGTATAAAACAAAGTCGCTCCCGATGTCAGTACGCTTAGATGTTAATGTAAAAAGTAAATGTAAAATATATTTTATTGTACACCAAGAGGAATACAGGATTTATACTAAGACACATGGGTACAACAGGCGGCCTTATCGCTAAAACAGCGGTCTCATCGAGACAACCTTGGGGCAGAGGATTCATTAAAAGAAGAAATCACTACCCCATGTTTTAAATTACGCAACTTTAATGAGGTTTTCAGAAATAGATAGTGATTTAAGCGGAACGGTTATATGTAGTATACATGCATGTGACAGTAGAGAAAAGTCGAGAAATTCAATATCTACATTGCACCCGTGCGAAGCCGGGTAGGGTCACTAGTTAATTATATCCGAATTTTAAAATCAACGCATTTGATTCAGTCTGATAAACATACACGCCTTTCAATATGGCTACACCTTTCTGTTACACTCTATAATATTCATATCTTTGACTACAGATTATATGACATGACATATATTTATTTTATTTAATAAAAGCAATTATATTAGATTAAGGCAAGTTACATTACGAGAACATGGACTACACTGTGGCCCCTAAACTAAGTATCTTTGAAATGCGAAAAAACAATAATATAAGTGACGTTAAGATTTTTGCCGTTGTGGCAATCAGCCGTTTAGCTTAGTGGTTAAAGCGTCTGGGCGCGAATCCCGAAGACGAGGATTCGATTCCCACAGCGGCGAAAAACTTTTCGTACTTTTTTCTTATGTATACATGTCGCATCGATTATTTTTTCACTAATGTTAATTAAATGAAGGTCTTTTCTGCTTCCAGTTTAAGTAGATGACATATAAGATTATTCTCAACTTGGCATCTATTCGTTTCAGGCGTACGAGCAAAAGCATCAGCAACAGACGGAAACAACAGAGTGATACTTCGATACCTCCTAGACGGTCGCAAACAATAATTGTTCCTATAATTAAATTCTGAAAGCATAAAATTAATGATGACAATGTTAGTTGTAACGAGTCATAACCGAAGTGTAGTTAGTACTAATATTTTGTACGTGAAACGAATCTTTGCATATACTGCCACTAGGATAAAAATATTTCGGGCACAGGGCGTTGCGGCACTTTGGTACTTCATGCATGTTCATATTGTTATTCCGCGTTAATTAGAATTTATATGGATCTGATTTAATTATATAATTCGTAACGAGTTTATGTAACAATAATGAGTTCCATTTGGTTATGATACGACTATAGCACAATAATACTTTTTATAGTAGACATTTTTTTACAGTCCGCACAAGTCCTATTTTGATTATTATTTTTCTTGTACAAGTAATTAGAACGAAGAGATGCTTTCCGAATGCACCTTGTTCTTGTTGCATAATTCTACAGGTTATTTTGACTTTGGAAAATTCTTGGATTTTTTTGATGGAAAAATAAATGAATCACCTAACTTATTACAGTAGTAGACTATTAGAAATCATGACACCATTGAAGACAGTTATATTTTAAATTTCTTAATTATAATAATTTGAAGCTTAACGTATATAAACTACATAATAACCGTTTTATTTTGTCTCTAGTGGGATGCCTGTATGATAACTATGACTGTAATATTTGTTAACAATGAAGATGATGCCATTTTACACAACGGTTAATGACTATTAAGAAATAATTTATTACTTCTGTTTAATGCTTCGTAGTTATTTAAAACTACAATACGCAACACTGAATAATTCGGTATTAGTTGCTTTTTACGCATCGAATTATTTTTAAGAGTAGTTATGTATTATAATTATAGTTATGATTTTAACAAACAAAAAGTTATCAACTTTTTACCTGCAAAAAAATCTAATAACGAAATATTCTAGTGAATAATCTTCATCGAATGAATACCTTGAATCGGCAAAATAGCAATCTCGAAGAGTATTGTGTAATGTTAATTTATAAATGTACGATCTCGTCACTTTATTGCGAGATCTGATCTGGTCCAAGAATATCATAAATTTTGTATTGGGTGAATTTTTGCGGTGCTTACTTATAACTGTTCGCGTACTTAAGTTTAAGCTGGTTTTTAAATGTGTCAGTGATAATGGGGAACCAATGATTTTACTTACGTAAACAAAATTACTTAATTATTTTAGTTGATGTATAAGATATTTCGCTACGAAATTGATTGAATCTTAATTTTTTTTCTACGATGATTTATTGATTATTTTATTGATATTGTGTGTGATACTGAATTTAGTGAGAAATGTGTTAAATACAGTGGCTGCTAATTGCAAAACTATGTAAGAGTCTGTTAATTGTTGATTAGTGCAACATAAATACATTTTTATATTTACAAAGGATTGAGTTTTTATTATGTTTAAAACTGGACAAAAGAAATATTTTGATTGTACCCTTTTTAATCTACACAATGCTGCCCTTTTTATGAAAACATGGGAAGATTAATGTAGGCAGTAGTTCTTTTTTGATTGAAAGTGAAGAAGCATGCAATGTGGTTAAAGTCCCGCAAATGTAAACTTAAAAAATAGTTAATTTAGCTAGCTATTACTCCATAGAGCGATCGCCAAAGCGACATGAGCTTAACGGCCAACCAATCCAGTAATAGCTCTCAAGCTTAGTCACCCATAAACTAAGTTAGGCGCCCTTACTTCAAACCTGGTGGATCTGTATAGGTTATCCGAAAGCCAACTAAAGGATCCAACAAAAAAAAATTTGGAGCCCTTTAAGTATGCGTTGCATAGTTTGGGACTAGTTAGAAACGTTGTGTAGTAACCTCCTCCTTTTGAAATCGGTTGAAATGCGTCCTGTCCAGAAATATTTCGTTTAATTATTTACTTTTTAATTTATAAGTTATAAGAGATTGTCGTTTACCTTTTTGAAACTGTAGGTATGTGCATGTCCCAACACGTTGTTAGACCATTGGTAAAAGTACATACATTATTCCCCAAAAGTTAATTTCACACTGTTGCTTTATTAACCCGTTCGTTGGGATCCGCATTCCAGGTGGTCGGTGCATAATTAATATTCTATAATATCTCATTTAACGTGTACCTGTATTCGTGTTATGAAAAAAAATTTAAAATCATTGTTCTTCGTAATTTCACAATGATTTATGTCTGTTTGTGTGTGCTTGCAGGTTATCGGTTCTTAAGTAAAGACTACTGACTAGCACTGACATTTCTAGTTTTCAAATATTTATTGAGAATTATAATTTGGGAAAGCGTTTTCTGTTAAGTATGCACCTTTGATAACGAGAAGAATTGCTAAAACCTCCCCCTTTTGAACTCGGTTAAAATGCAATGAAAACAAATTAGAGATTTTCTCACGTTAATTATATCGACGGTTGGTATAGTGGCTAGTGCCTGGTTGCGTAATCCGCGAGGCACAGGTTTGAATCCGGGCAGCGGTGAAAAACGTTAATCAAACGTTTTTCGCCGCTGCCGTTTGATAGTCATTTTATGGAAGCAGTTGGTAAAAAATAAAACAATACATTTTTATCAGTTTTTATTTTCTGTTCCTGTGGATTTCTCACAATAGATTTAGCAGCTTAAAATACCTCAATAGAAAACTTTTCTTCGGAATGTGACGAGTACATAGTAATACTTAAAATTATATTAAAATATATACCGCTTAGCATTTCGAATACTTAAGTCACAGTACATTATAGCGAAAACAATGACTTCGATATATTTACAACTTAAGCTAGAACTTTTTAGTATCAAACAGGTAAAAAAATAAGTTTCAGTTACTATACTGCATAAAGGCCATGAATTTATAATACATTCGTAGTACAAATGACTGACAAACTATCGCTTCAATCTTCTAATTCACTAACAATCTCAAACAACTAAACATCTCACTTTTCAAATACTTCACGCCAAAAATTATCCTTTCCTCGATATCACAGTCCTTCAAAACCAATCAATTTGTCAAATTCAGCCCCTATTTAACAACGATTTACCATAAGGGAAGAAACTTATAACATACAAAGAGGTTCTTAACACCCTGATCGATATACAATAATTATTTAGTCATTGGACAGAAATTTCGCTAAACTAAACTATCACTAAACAAGCTTAAAAAGTAGGCTATGCTATCAGAACGAAATAAGTATAACTTATTTCGTTCTGATTTCACGAGTTGGCGAATTTTTTTTTCTAATAGAAAGCGAAGAGATAAATAAAAATAAATAGGACAGACAACCGAAAAAAATACTTTTTTAACTTAGAGATTAATTGTCATGACGTAACTCTCCTTTGGCACTAGAAAGGGGAAACGAATACGATTTTAAAATGGCGGACAGAAGATGAGCGATACTGAGATCTTAGAAAACTGTATACAGATTTCCGAATTTTCTTAAGCCTACTACTACGGCAACAGTTCAAACGGATGTGATACAATGTTCGTCGGTACAAAACTAATATCTATTCACAGTCTTCGTACTGATTGGCTGCACAGGCCGCCGCTATGTCGGGCACTCGGGTGCGCAACGCACTCGCGTCCGGCCCGAAGGGACAGCGCATTTGTAGCACTTTTGATACTAGTTCATTCACAATTCCTAACACAAAGTTCGGTGCGGGCGCTCGTCCCCGCGGTCGGTCTCACCGTCGAGGGCTCTCACACAAGCGCGGTCAAACTCCCCGAGCGGCAGTTTTTGCTCTCCCCCGCTTCGGTGGGGTTTGATTTCTCCTGGAAGGAAAAACTTCTCATGATTTTGTCGCTTATGATAATTTTGTTATTCCGGACAATAGGAGATTATACAAATCGGTAAGCGGTAACGCATAAAACATAATAAGGCTAGGCCCTGATAACTCTGAGCTTACATATAAGTATATTAAGGAACAAAAGGAGTCCATTAATGGACACTAGGTAAATGAGCTTGCAATGTGTATGTTTAAATGAAGGATGGGTTACATTACAAAATGTCATACAAGTTGAAGCATGGTATAATACGGATAAGTTTTTGTAAACAATACATGAATGGGAAAATTGTGTTGATACTTCGGAAGTTGTAAACTACATACTTTAATAGTATGGAATCACATTTAACGCTCTGCCCTCAACACAGAGACGACGAATAGTGAAAAATTTATCGATTCGCCAATTTCAATCTTGAAGCTAATCGAGTTAGGCTGTTTAAAGCGTGTGATACGTTTCGGATGATTTCAATGTTACTTTCTTCTACCCTTAATGACCATCGAGCATTTTCGAAATTATAAAAAGAAGGGGTCAGGGGAAGAAGTCGCGGGGGCAGGTGTTACCGTGGGCGAGTGCGGGGGCGCGGGGTGCGGCGGGGGCAGAGGCAGCGCGAGCCGCAGCGCGGTCCAGAAGGCGCGCTCGTGCACGTGCCGCCAGGCGACGAGCCTAGTGCGCCGCAGCGCCCCCACCAGCCACTCGCCGCCCTCCTTCGCCTCGCGCTTCAGCTTCGGCAGGTCCTGCGCGCACACGTAAAGGTCACACACACGCACACACACAAGTGAAGGTCGTTGAACTCTCAATGCGGAAAATTTTCATATAAACTTTATTTTCCATAGATAAGTATAGATATATAATTATTTTTAGCTGTTGTAAATTAATAACTATTTACCAATAATAATACCATTATTAATTAATACCATTAATATTTTAAGACAACTAAATAAACTAAATAAATAAATAGTTATATGCTTGTGTGCGCTGTTTATACACTGCACACATTAGGACGCACCCGCTCAAATGCGGTTTAACTCGCAATTTATTGTTGATTAAACTTCTTTGCTAAAGATCTTGTTCTAGTTGAGTTTAAAAAGTTGCATTGTTTTTCTTAAACTACTTTGACTAAAGTGTAACTCGATAACTTACAAACAAAATATTTTCTTCGTAAAATATTTTATTGTATTATAACATTTCTTGTATGAACAAATATTATTGAGTATTTTGGTAGATACCCATCGGATTAAAATATTATATGAACGTGAACTTCCGAGTTGAAAGTATCTGCGTAAAACTTCTACTCGCAACTTGATCACGTCTGGGTAAATAACTATATTCAGGGGTAATAAAAGCGCACCTTCCTTCTCAGTTATTTACCATTACATATAACGTATAAATGACCCTCTATCTCTCCCTAAATGTCCAACACAAAATTATAAAAACGCAGATGGAAAACGTGTACGTTCGAATCGATTATGGCAAATTCCACGGCTGCTGCCGATTTTATACTTAAATAAGTTTGGTTTAATTGCATCATAAAAAATATTGATAACATGACCACAGTTTCTTGCCAGCTCTTCTCTGGTCAGGTCAACCTTAGTGAACGGACGGTAGCTTTCGGTTCAAGAAGAAGCTTAAACTAAGCTTATATCGAATCAAGAAATTTCGTCTTTGACCCAGAACGGAAAAACGGACGGCAGCTTTTTGTTCAATAACAGCTTAAACTAAGCCTATATCGGACGATGAAATTTCGACTTTGACCCTGAAGGGAAAAAAGGAACGGTACAGCTTTTTGTTCAATAAGTGCTCATACCAAGCCTATAACTGTACGAAGAAATTTCAACTTTGACCTTGAACGGAAAAACGCTTTATCCGCTCACCTGCAGCAGTACGACCACGGGCGGCAGCGGCAGCGCGCGCAGCTGCCTCAGCGCGGTCAGCAGCTGCTGCGGCGTGTACTGAGCGGGCGAGAGCACGGCCACCAGCGAGCGGCAACGCGACGCCTCGCCCACCAGCTCGCTGTACCCTGGAGACGCGCACGGAACATCAGCTTTTCGAGTAACCAACCAAGTATGATAGACGTTTAGCTCGGTTGAAGAGCGCCGGGGCGTGTTACGACGCGGGGTCTAATCTCGCACCACTAAATTAAAAAAAAAACATGTTAACCAAAAAAAAAAAAGAGTATGGACCACGAGTCTTTAGTTACTTTGTTAACATAATAAAAAAAAATATCTCGCACCACAAAGTTTACGTACCTAAATTTTTTTCTTGAATGCAGTTGAGTGAGACTAGCAAAATAATGAAAATCGATGAAAATCGTTAATGTGCAGGTTTCAGTGCAACTTCACTTTTAATTATGGCTAAATAATATTAAAACTGGCCGAATATGGCAAAATTTAAAAAATGATAAAAACATAAAAAGCATGTCCAAGCGATAAAGAGGAGCTGAATAAAGAAAATATATAATACATATATTCCAATCCGCAATACTCAATTGGGTTTGCTTGACGACCTACGCCCCAACATTCTGTTACTATACCAAAGTATCATTGTATGAAATCATTGTTGCAAATCAATGGGCATCAGGAAGAACTTTCGCCTCACGTACAGTTGTCGGGCTGCGTGGAGAGCACCGCTGCGTGGACGCGGTACTTGTACTTGAGGGCGAGGGTTGGCAGGAGGGCGCCGCGCACCAGCTCGCCGTCCACCTCCGTCCAGCAGACCAGCACGTCGAACTCCTTCTCTAGCACTGCAACAACGAGTTTCACATTGACACCGATCGTACGCGCGAGCGAGAAGGATAATGAGCCTTTCTCATTCGCACCTTCGATCGAAACTCTAAGATCGATCCCATCGCGGCGTACGGTACATTAGAGAATTTTGCAAGTCTCGATCGGCGCATTATGTAGACGGACCATGTATGTTGACAAATCTTTGTTCATTTAAGGGAACGCACGCAGTCACAGGTAACGCGACATTCACAAGCTGCATCCCCGAGTGCATGCATGTCGAATTATTTTTTTTTTAAAAAACATTGTCCTTGCTTTAGGATAACACTATCCTGTATTGCAAGGACGTTTTACATACATAAATTACACGTGCACAAACACGCAGATGCGAAACTACAATCTGTGGGTCGCACAAATAGTTGCCCCGTATGGGAAGCGAACCCACGACCCCCGACGACGTCAAAGCCAATACCTTGGCGACTGCGCCACGGAGTCGTCATCTATGCTTATTAAAGGCCGCATACTTAATCCACTTTACCACGTACGAGTGCCAGTGAGTGTTCTGGCGGCTTGCGTGTGTGTCGCTTCGCCTCGCCCGCGCGTATTAGTTGATGAGTGTCATTGAGCATGTGCGAGTGCGCTGCAAGGACTCTTATTGTCCGCGCGGAAAGCGCACGTGCATGTGTTCGTGATCCCACGGCAACGTGTAAATGTGTGCGTATTTTCGAGCGGCAATTAGACATGCATGCGAGATCGCCCAGCAATGGCACATAGGTACATGTGTGCGTCATCGCACGGCAACGTGTAAATGTGTGCGTATGTTCGAGCGGCAAGTAAACCGTATGCGAGATCGTCCAGCGAGGGCACATAGGTCCATGTGTGCGTGAGCGCATGGCAAGTGCATACACCCACGTGCGCCGTCTCACCTCGTGCTCGGTGCGCGGCGGTGGCGGCGCGGGCGCGCGCGTGCCTCGCGGCGAGCAGCAGCCGCGGCGTGCAGCGGCGGTGCAGAGCGGCAACGGTGAGCAGCAGCAGGGCCCCGGCGGCGCCGCCCAGTGCGAGCGCGCGCCACGGCACCACGCCCCCGCCGCACCACGCGCCGTCGCCGCCCGACCACACTGCGTACGAAGGCGGTAGTACAGTAGGAGGAAAGTTTGCATTGACCTCTGAAGTTCATCGCGCGCATCGTTGAACTCCTACCACACTGCGTACAAAGGTGTTAGTACAGTAAGAGGAAAGTTTGCATTGATCTCTGAAGTTCATCGCGCGCATCGTTGAACTCCTACCACACTGCGTACAAAGGTGTTAGTACAGTAAGAGGAAAGTTTGCATTGATCTCTGAAGTTCATCGCGCGCATCGTTTAACCCAAACCACCAGGAAAGTTTGAATTGAGCTCTGCCAAGTTGAGGCCTCCCGCGCATCATCAACAGCCAACCACACTCGTACAAAGGCGGTAGTACACTAAAAAGAAAGTTTGAAATGAGCTCCGTCAAGTTAATTCATCGCGCGCATCGTCGCCACCCAACCACACGGCATATTTTAGGTTTATACGGGTCGGTATGAAGTTTTGCCTACTCGCTCAAGCTGGAAGCTGGTGCGTGACCCTACCTAAGTAACATAGTAAGTGGCCGTATATGACACACACACTGGTTCAGCAATAGGCACTGCAGTCTTGAAGACGCCGCGCTATAATCGTACAGAAAGAGACACACCGGCAGGTTATTCGCTTCTGAAATGAATCGGTTAGCTACTCACATTTGTAATGCAGCGTGACATAGCTTCGTGACACGATTTCGTTGCTGTGGACGAGGCATACATAGGTTCCGTAGTCCTGGGCGGACACTCGGTCGACTGTCAGATACGCGCCGATTATGTCCTCCACGTCGTCCCTGTTAATGAAACCAATTGCTTAACGATTGGCACAGACAATTGTAGTGTATTGTATTTTGTGTGGAAGTGGTTGACCACCGCGATCTAGAAGGATCTCTTATAGCCTTCCTTTCGCAAATATTACCCCCTTAATGTGGGTAACATTGTCCTGTGTTGTAAGGACGTTTTACATACATAAATTTCACTTGGACAAACACCCAGATCCGAAAGAATTATCTGTCGGTCACACAAATAGTTGTCTCGTGGGGGGTTCGAACCCACGATCCCCGGCGCCTGAGCCCATACCTTGGAAATTGCGTCACGGCGTCATGATATAATGGATAGTGTCCTGTCTCATAAACCAGAGGGTGTGGTTTCGATCCCGACTGCTGAAAATAATATTGTGTGACGAACATAATGTTTTTCCAGTGTCTGAGTGTTTATATATCTATAATAATTAGTTATTTACAAAAGAAATGTATGCTAAGTGTGTTTATCAGTTGCTTGTAAAAATATGTAGTATTTATTTCATTATAGCATTTATGACAAAGGACAAAATAACGCTTCTTCCTAGCTTCAATAAATCGATTGAAGCTCCTAATCATTCACCGGTCCTCTGATATATAACCAACTTAGCAACTTAATAATACTTGTGTTATTGGTATAAGTCATGATCAATAAACGATAAGTCAGCCGGTGCTAAGCTCAATGCAGTTTTCTTATCGATTAACGGCCAGTTTCAATATGCCATCTATCTGTAGATTTGGTTGCTAGCGATAGGAATTTCACATTAGTTCCATAATACTCATTTCAAAATTCTATCCGGTAACGAAACCTATGGTATATTGGATCCGGGCATAAAACTATAACTCCTTTAACAAAGTATGTTACATCTTTATTAGTATCTTTACTTTCTTTCGATTCCATTAAACAAATATTACCCGACTTAAAATGGGATTTACGAAAAAATACAAAAACGGCTCCAGTGCATAAGCACTGAAAAATATTTCTATTTCTCTGATGTGCACATTTCCTCACGAGGTTTTTTATTACCTCCGGAGTAGCACAGAAGTCCGCAATGTAATCTGAAATACCTTCTCGATATTGCATCTATAAGTAGTACTAAAAAAAAGAATAACGACCTTACCGCTGAACTAAATTTTTGTGGATTTTTCCTACTTCAAAGATCGGAGCTCGTCTGCACTGAATCAAATGTACATATTATTCTTGACGTTAATTATTTTCGTAGTGTTTATCGCAAATTATCTACGCCGCTGTATCTCAAAGAAAACTTGCTATCTCCCACAGCTTAGTCATGCAGCGCAAACAAATTCGCACACGATGCCAAGAAGTGCCCTAATCAGATAATCATATTACTGAGAAAAGTAAGACTGGGATAGCCCAGTAAGTGGAGTGTCGAACATGTGATGTCGCAGGTTCGGGACATGCAAAAATCACTATCTAACATTGTTGCGTAGTGTACGACGGTGTAATTTTGCGGGGCGTGCAAATTTTTCAAAGGCCATTGATGTTCGTCCAAATCGCAAGTGAACAGTTTTTACGTTATAGGGAACCGTGTTGAACTCTCGCTCTCGCCGAAATCCAAATCGCATTGCGTCTTGCTCCCCCAACTCGGTGTACAGTTGCGAACAATGGTGTAATTCGGTTTTGTGAACATTAGTTACTTTCAAACAATTTCATAAAAGGAATAGGTTCTCAATACGATTCCTTTTTTTGTTACCTCAGATATGCGGCATTTATAAACAGACTTTGAAAATTCTTTTCGCATTAGGTTTGGCTTAGCGCTCATTTGGTCCCATATTAACTTCAATGGTACTGGACCTTGGACTCAGGAGATACTCAAACTCATGGAATTGCTCAAAATGAAATATATAATGTACATTAAGTGTGATATTTGAAGTCGCTTTCGTTTTTTGTAAATAAAAATGTACGTGTTACTCTTTGTACTCGACAGTACATGTCTATATAGAAGGGCTTACCGTGCTGTTTTGATTTGACGCTGCGTGGGCAGCAGATCGCCCTCAGTGCCGTTAGGCCAGACCTTCCACCAGCGCAGGTCGCTCCGCGCGTCAGCCAGATACGTGCGGCCTGGAATCAGAACGCTTCTTGGTAATGGAACGAAGGCATCTTGTGGGGGCTAGTGACTCATGTAGGAGTCCCACTAAGCGAACGGGCATGGGGGAAGGGCTTTTTTCAACCGCGGACGGCTAATGATGATGAAGATGTAAGGTAAATGATTACCGCCCCTTAATGTCGTCCGCAACGGATGGGTTAAAATTGTTTTCATCCGCAAAACAAACACTTCTACTACGCACCGGTCTTATTCCCGTTTCACACGAGGCAAGTTTACCGATTCCACTCTGCCTAGAGAGTAAAACGTATAGTATGACATCCGAAACTAAGTGCTCGGTAATAAAATTAACTACATCATATCTCACTCTGCACATACCAAACGGCTGATAAAACACCGCTTCCCGATTGGTCCTCATTCATCATAATAGAGAGGCAAATTGTAATGCGGAAAATAGCGGCTCTATAAGAAGATCTAGCACGCTTTGAAGCAGCAAAGAGCGCTGAGACCTCATTTTCTATAGCGTTGAAGAGGAAGTAACCTCGCCTCGTGTAAAACGGGCATATGGTCTTAGGTCCGTTTCAAATGAGGCTAGAGAACTCAGGTTCCTCTCCAGTCGAGCTGACTAAATAATCCAAGGTCTAGGAGTATGGAAATGAAACTGATTTGTTTTTCTTGTTCAATCCTGAATATGTTTGTATTAGGTGGGTCGTATTAACTAATATTGGGTCGCCCGGTGAGTTGTTACGCAGTTTGAGACTAAAGCGAATCCTAGCCATTCGGATAGTGAAACAAATTCGACAAATCGTTATTTCAATTAATTTCATGAAATGCACATGGGACGTCACAGCACGCGGTCGCGAAATCGATACCTGTCATTGTGTTAAAACTCGCGAGACGACAGCGGATGGAGACCGTTATACAAACGAAAATCAACACAACGTATCGATCGGTTCGCTTTAAGAGGAGAACCGGTTACACTCATTCCGCGAACTGATGATACGGAGGGGAATTGGGTCGGCGTTGTGTTGCCTAAGCGTTATCAGTGGTGCTTTTTTTTTAATAACTGTCTCTGACTGTTGCACGAATGGGCAGGGGAAGTACCACGACCTTACCAAGATCGCGGTGAAGTGGAAGCATAATACATTCGCGTGTCGTCCGGTAATTGAGGTAACGATAGGGGCCCACTATTTTACGGTTGGTACCGCATCTGCAACCGGTCTAGCCCATGGGCGGTAACTTAACATCGGGCGAAACGGCTCGTTTGCCATTTCACTACATAGTATAAAACGAAGTCATCCCGCTGTCTGTCTGTCCCTATGTATGCTTAGATATTTAAAACTACGCAACGGATTTTGATGCTTTTTTTTTACTAGAAGAGGATGGTTTATATGAATAATACATTGCACCCTTACCGCTAGTAACTTATAACATTTAAAAAAACACTCACCGACGAGAGCTTCGCAGTACAGCCGCACCTCGCTGCCCTCCTCCACCCATTGGTCCTTCGAGATGAACATCGTTTTCGGCGCATCTGTCGGCTTTTCTGCGAAACGGAACGTTGCGTGTGAGCGCGCAATGAACGAAACGCTTCCACGAACGAAACCAGATGCTCCGCGTATTGAAGGCGACATGTATTCGACACGTATTCACGGAGCGGAGGGCGCCTATCCTTACTAGTCCTTCCTTACTAATATTATAAACGCGAAAGTTTGTATATGTACGGATGGATGTTTGTTACTCTTTCACGCAATAACCGACTAGATTTTAATGAAACTTTACAATAATATAGCTTATACATAAGAATAACACATAGCCTTTAATTTATAAAGGTATTGTGTGAATTGTCCAAAACATGGGTAATTATAAGTGTCAACCTTAGTTGTAAGGTTGTCTTAGTTGTAAGTCTTACTTATAAGAGAAAATTCAGCCATCTGCGAAATATTCTGGCTGGTGCATAATAAAATGCTCATTGTTAATTCCCTTTAGCCACGCGAGCGAAGCCGCGGTTAACAGATAGTTCTCAATATTATGTGGACGGCCGATCGATAATAGTTTTCGAATCACGATCCGAACGCCCGATTCTCGGAATCGACGTGCAAGTGCGGCCCGATCGGTCACACTCGGCAATATTGGAGTGCTATCTATTATTGCACGGTGTATACCTACGTCGGACGCGACGCGTAAGGCCTTACGCGGAATTCGATACTCGTGCCAATATCGCCTTGAACAGGATTTTGAATAAAGTTATCACACACGTAATGCCGTTTAAAATATGCAACTATTATGAATGTGACTTCGTTACTTTTCGATGTGCTTTAGAAGTAAAACTTATATATAACTTATATATAGTATGCAGGGACTAGGTACTAAGTTTAGAAGTTGTCTTTTGCTATTCGAAATTAATACAGAAGGAAAAAATCGGAATTAGGCAAACTACCCAGTTTTATTCTTTGCTTAATTCCGATTTTAATTCCGAAAACTCCGAAGTAATTAAACTAACTAAACGAAAGTAGTAACTAAAAATAAAGTAACTAAACTATATACTAAGAGAATTTATACGGTGGTAGGGCCACACAGCAGCCTCGGCTGTTGCACGAATGGGCAGGCCCGTCCGGGTAAGTACCACGACCTCACAGGAGACCGGCGTAAAGTGGAAGTATGACAAATACTTTCGCGTTTCGTCTGGTGAGTGAGGTAGCCGGAGCCTAATTTTCAAAAGGTTGTCAACGCATCTGTAACCCTCGGGTGTGGCAGATGTCCATGGGCGGCGGTATTCACTTAACATCAGGTGAACCGTCTGCTCGTTTGACAACTTTTCGCATAAAAAAAAAAAAAAAAAAAAAAAAAATTGATAAGACATAGATACATCTTTATATATATAAATCTTCTGTAAGTGTGTATGTCACTAAGCTCCTCCTAAACGGCTGGAACCGGCATTTTTATGAATTTTTGTGTCTCTTCAGGTCGATTCGAGAATGGTCTAGATTCACAATTCGTTTTGTTTTTTATTTATAAGTCGTTGCCGGATTTAACTCGCGTGTACAGGGCAACGTCTGTTCGGTCCGCTAGTAATTATTTAATTTCCATATCACAATCCAGAACAATATAAGAGAACCAGTTAAATGATTCTATGTTAATAAGTAAATAAATTATAATACTTTACAAATTATTAATAATTACTTCTGCTTCATTTTCCACCAAATCACGTGAAACGTGTTTACAACTTCAATATTACCTCAAAAGGTAAACGTTGCCTTCCGAGGAACACGTGTTGGCATTTTTTCCCACAGTTTTATTACTTTCCTTGTCGCTTTTTATAAAGTATTGGAAGTTGTAATTTAATTATGTTTTAAATTGCTTTATCGCTCAAAATATTCATTGCGTTGGAATAATTGCACAATTTACACCTTGAATATTGCGAACACGTATTTGGATAGCACAATATCATTCCCCATAAACAACTTTTTGAAGGCAAATAAATCCATAAATGAGATTAATTTAAAGGCTAATGCTGTCAGCATTATAAAAAGAAAGAGATTAAGATTATTTTATAATTTGAAAACTATTCATTATTTAAAGAACAGTCATATAGTAGTTGAATATCTCGACATTTCTAAAAAAACAGAAAAGCTGTCATACTTTCTAATTATTATTAGCAACCGTTAATTAAGTATATCGGATCATAGTAAATTATTACAGTTGTTACTAAATGCTTGATATTGATATTTTCATTGTGATATATTTAATATAAAACCTTTCAAGCTTTATGAAATGTTTGAGTGTTCGGTTAAGCTTTTTATGGATGGCCATTAATAACTATGTATTATTGCTAATGATGACAAAGAGGGAAATTTGTTTGTTTGACTGTAATGGGAGATGTTGGGAAACAGTCTTGTAAAATTCTATAAAGGGCCGCATAAAAAAAAACAGTGGGAGGCATGGCATACGGTTTCCTCGTTTCAGATATAATCTACTATTAAATAGATAAACTTTGTTTGATGTTCGGACATACCTACATATGATAAAGAAAATTCACAAATAAAAGCTAAAAGATCATCGAATATCATAGACGAAATCTATCGAATGCACCATGCATTTCGCTTATGTTGACATTAAATATAATGAGGAAAATTTCATTTACCTAGAAGTTGTCTAGTCATAGAAACACAATGCAACTCAGAATTTTTTTTTTAATTTTTTTATGTGAAAAGTTGCCAAACGAGCAGACGGTTCACCTGATGTTACACCCGAGGGTTACAGATGCGTTGACAACCTTTTGAAATTGGGCTCCGGCTACCTCACTTACCAGACGAAACGCGAGTATTTGTTATACTTCCACTTTACGCCGGTCTTCTGTGAGGTCGTGGTACTTACCCGGACGAGCCTGCCCATTCGTGCAACAGCGACTCTACCACCGTAAAATAGCGTCAGATATGCGTATGCCAGTTTTTTTCTAGAGACAACCATTTATGGTGCATACAAATTATTTCCTGTGGGAATCGAACCCAAAACGCAGCGTGCAATATTCGCAAAGCGGCCAGTTTACCGTTAATCACTCCTTTAATACTAATCATCATAAAGCATACGTCACAATACGAACCAATGGGCGTATTATCCACTAACATGAGACAGATTCAGTAAGGTGTAGATTCGATCTCCACTACTGGAAAAATATTGTGTGATGAACGTAATGTTTGCCAGTGTGTGGGTGGTTGTACATCTATAAAATGTGTTTATTTACGTCATCGCCGTAACGCGTTTCCGTCGTCGTCCCAAAGCATTCAGTTGTCCGTTAGTCGCGCCTCTTGAAGTTTTACTTAAAAGTATGTATATATCGCAGTTTGAAGCTTATATAGACATTGTTGTATAAGATATATGCAAGATAAAATCAAAAACAAAATCGAATATCTTTATTCAAAATAGAACTATTACACTCGTTTATCGATAGTCAAAATACTACCACCAGTTCGGAAAACAAAGCCACTGTACTGATATATATATTTTCTGATATATTTATTAATTCATTTACTATTAATTACCTAGGATGTCGAGGCGCACCGTGTGCGTCTCGCTGTGGGTGTCGTTGCTGAGGCGGCAGGTGTAGTTTCCGGAGTCGGTGCGGGCGGCGCGGCGCGTGTACAGCGTCTGGTTGGCCGCCTCGGGGTACAGAATCAGGTTCGACACCCCGCCCGACCACGGGTACGCCACGCCGTCCTTGAACCTGCAACCGGGAACTGATGTTAGGCGACGGGCCGGGTAGAAAATCAGCACTTCTGATGCAGGGGTGGTGGGGCCGCGGGGCGAGGGGAGTGCCAAAGAGGGCCTTGCGAGGGGAGTGCCACAGAGCGCCGCTGGGGGCTGGGAGGCTTGCTGCTTATTAGCACTGGCTTTCCTGGCCCCCACGGCCTCTTGTCAGCGAACGAGGCTGAAGTTCGTTGGCCTTGAAAAGAGTGCGCCTTACTCGGAGGAGATGGGAACTGATCCCCGAGAAGGGGCTACTGAGGCGGTCAGCGCTGGCAGGATCACGTGCGCAAAAGCGTTCCCGTGGCCCTGCCGATATGGCCTAGGTGGAACATTGAGGGGTTTTAGTCGGTGTGAGTCTGACATAACCCGTTCTTGCCTCCGCGTGGGGCGGGTATGCGTAGGCATTTCCCCGGCGTTAACAAAAACAAGTCTATATATAGATTAAGTTACTACCCCATTTTTTACTCGTAGCTAGCCAAAGTCCTCTCTGGATCCCTCCATTCCTCTCAAAAAGTTGTTAAACGCCAGTACGGTTTTACTTCAGAAGAAATAATGTTGGCGAAGCGATCACGATGTAATGCGTTCACGTATGTAATGTACGTTTTAGAATGTGTACAGCTTACATAATTCATATACGATACGTAAGCACTATCTTAGTATTATGAATGATCACTAAATTTTACACATGTTTAAAAGACGTATCTTACAGGGTAAAATATCCCTAAACAAACCTTGTTTTGAAATGCAAACCGTGCCATTACAACGTCATTTCTTTTACATGTTTACACGAGTGTCGAAAAGGGTCATCGTACTATGTAGTCAAATAACAGACTATAGAAGACTTTGCTTACGTCATTTTAAGGGAGAATAAATGATGCGACGACAACACGTGTTAGTGGGGCGGAGCCGTTTTATTCCAAGCGCGAGTGACCGCACGCGGATCTCGCATTTGCTGAGAATCCGCGGCGGATTTTAGCAGAGATGATCCGCGAGACGCGATTCCGCGATGGCATCGATTTACGACGGAAACAATCTGCCGCGGGGGCTAATGGGGCGCCATTCCGCACCAGCTGCTGTACAGTCGCCTTCCGCGAAACGGATTACATCAAACGCTCTCGAATGAGGAAACCGTCACACGAACGCAGCGCTGACCAGAGCCTAAGAAGCGCGAGAAAGCGGTGCCTCGTCTTACCGGGAATTTAATTTCTCAAATAGATATCCACGGTAGAATCAATAACATGCTGGTCTTAACACTAAGAACTAACTTAACATATCAAGACGACGCAAATACTAAGGAAAAAAGATGAATTGCACGATGATACAATATTAATGGCACTATTCTGTATCATCTTAGTCAGTCGTCGATGGAAAATCTAGATGAAAAATTTACATTTAACGAAAACAAATATAATCTGCACAAAGTAGCTATAATAGTCTCAGGACTGAAAGCAAAAACATCAGTTAATACTACAATCTGCACAATTATATCTGTTTTTTTCGGTCCAAAGGCATATAAATATTTGCGGTGTCGACAGTGCCATTAAATGAAACGCAAAACGGCGGAACGTTCGAGATTAACTTCGCACGGACATGTACGTTCTGCATCCGTGTCAGCCGCGTGCGCGGCAGAAGCCCGGCCGGCGGGTGTTTACGCGCGGGTCCCGCTGAGCGGAGCCAGCTGCGAGCCGTTCGGCGAACGCGGCGTGCGCAAAACAAGCGAGCGTTTCCCGCGAACGGTGAAATTTTGCGGTAACCGCTCTCGAATGGCGCGGGAGCAAAACAAACATTCGCCCGACTCGGCTCGGGCGCAAGGCCGCGACGCGATTGGTTCCGAGAAGCGGGCCGCGGGCTCGATGCTCGGCGGTCGGAACCGCGGCCCAGTGTACCGAGACACCCGCAATTATACCTCCCTCCTCCCCAGCCCCTCCACCCCGCCACCTCTCCCCTCGCCTCTACGAACCGCACGGATACCCTCATGAATTCCTCACCAACACCCCATCCATTCCGAGTAAATGTATTCGCGAACGCACAGATGGTAGGTTTAACAGATTCGCAGAAGCCACGTTAAAAGTGCCGGACGCGTGTTTACAATATACATGTCCCTGGGTGGAGCGAGGTTAGCGAATTTAGCGTTTCCCAAAGAGCCGACACGGTGACTCATACGATTTGCGCCGTTGGAACCGATCGATAGTTGGAATAATAGAGTTGCAAAAGCGACCTAGAGAAATTGGTGCGACCCGTGGCGATGCGTTAAATACGGGGATGACCGAAGCATTCGCCCAATTATCTTGCGAATATCGGTGTGGCCGCTACACAAGAGTTGTTTATTCTCTTACGGCACGGAGGATTCAAAGAAAGCCTTTCGAAACGGGTTCTGATGCGCGCGCGTCTTTGCCAGCGGAAATCCATAACCGAGCGAGCGAGTAAAGGGAGAGGTAAATAAAAAAAAACTACGCCGCGGAGTGCGGTGCACTTTGTGAGCCTTGCATTTATCGCGGCGTATGTGAAGCGGAGCGGCCTGTCATGCCATGGGCGTTTCACATAGAAAGACGCTACTGCACTCTAGGCACCGATTGTCCTAGCATTGAATCATTCACATATTAAAACCAGGTCTTAACAATCCAATAAGAAAGTCTGTAACCTGCGAGCAGTATAAAAAGCAAAAAAAAAAGAATTTTGACAATCTGTTCACAGATGGGGGAGAAATCGGTGAACATACATAAAAATAATACATGCAGTTGAACATAGAGCCTCCTACTTTTGAAGTCGGTTAAAAATCATACAATTTTAATCCCCGTGCAAAGATAATAAAATTCGGATACAATATGTATCCGAACACACATCAGTTACGACATTTAAACCGGCTTACACAGCTCCAGTGGAATCGCTTCATTAATTACACGGATTTAAAGCCATTAAGGGCAGAAATCGAGTACAACGCGGAAACGGAGTTAACAAAGGCTACCACCAGGCGAGCGACGAACGCACCGAACTGGAGCCGAGAGCCAAACAAAAGGTGCCGTGCCTTTGTGCAGGACCTTGTAATATTGAATATGCTCCACCGACAGAGGGATTAATTTTTAATGAGGGGCGTACCGCAGCGCGGAGACCGAGGATCGCAAACGGAGACCGGGACCGGAGACTTGGGATATAAGAGCCCAGTCAAGACCGCGCTCGGCCCCTGCGAATATTTCCGAAATAACGCGAACCGGTCTTTGACCCGAGAGTCGGGTTGCATTCAACGGACCGGCAACAAATCATTCGCGCATCCTCCGAACTCAGCGAGATGATTTATTTTCCCCTTGTTGTTTCAATGCTAAGGCATTATATGAATTTCTTGGATGTAACTTGATTTTTATATAACCGAACGCAATTAAGCAATAGTCATTTGCACAATTGTGTCATACCACTTGACATTAAGGATGCCAAATTATTAGATATTATTGTTCAGTTGTGACGAGGAACATCGTGACGAGGCTTAAGGGAATTTGTATTATTGACATTTAGTCTGGCGGATGTCTATCAGACTAATGAAAATAGTTCTTTATAAAAATAAAGTTGCTGAAGTTACTTAAAGTCGTGATACGTCATCACAAGCCGGAGAAATTAAAAAGGTATAAAATTTCTTATGTAATTCATTTTCTTTTATCTATCACAATTAAACCGTATAACATAAAGATAAAAGCCTTGGTTCGATGAATAAGTACAAATTGGTAAATAAAAATATCCGCGATAGGTTTTTTGATAAACTTTTATAAGAAAATGAACTGATAACTAAAAGAAATTACTCTCATATCAAAGCCCAGTAAATCGAATATTTTTTTGTTAATGTCAAGTTCTCCGAAGAGAACATCAATACGAAGTAACGGCTTATAATGTAGCTATATCGAATTCGTGTTGTTGTTTTGATAAGTAAGAAAGATTATTTCAACAATTTCGTTAACATGATTTTCTTTCCCTTGTGCGATATATGTATGTAAACATACAATGAAAAGATAAAATACTACTGAGTTACAGGCGTCGGCTATTTGGTAAGAGCTGGAGAAGTAAACGGTAGAAGACTTTCAAGAAATGTCTACACAGTATCCTGTATATAGAAGTAAATCAGGAAATCCCATTTGACCAAATAGGACATGCTGCCGAATATCTAGTAAGTGCACATAATTATAATGAAAACAAAGCCAATTGCATTTAATCAACCAATGAAAGACATTCGAATACAAAATCATACGTAAACTAAACTTACTTCCTCCGAATTTTCTATGACGTGCAATAAAATTGATTAATTTTCCAATATTAGCACGAGCGCTGACAAATGGTTACGTAAAATCTATAACGAATAGTCTCACAACACAGACGATCAGTTACCATAAAAAATGCACACGCATATTAAAATACATTTCCTCGATAGCTGATACGTGGAATTGAGCGGAGAAAAAAGAGCTTTAATTAAAAGTACCGATCTGAAATGATAATAGACCATGAACAGTGTCAGAGTTTCTGCACCATGTCCATAATATCCGGGTTTTTGTCGGCCGAGTTCATCACCCCTTCTAAGAATACAGGTAAAAGAAAATGAACTTCGAATAAAAGACGGATAAAAGAAATGATTTTGTGTCAGGCTTTTGACATCGAGTTTATCCGCACGAGAGCGCAGCATTGTCGGAAATTCCAGATTGTGAGTTCCGGGTATATTGTTCAAGAGGAACCGTGTAATTACATGCTGCAGCATTTAATTGCTTAATTAATGTTCTACTTCGATATAATAAGATCCAACTCTTTTGGTGGCAACCAATAGTACCTACCAAAGTATCGGAACGGATCCGAAAAAAAAACTGATCAGAAACGGAGGGTGGAATCCATAAGGTATCCTGAAACGATTGGCACAAGCTGAATCAGGAGGACTGATACCTGGATCTGCCATCACCGTACTATAATTACTGGGTTACAGAAACGATTCGGCCAAGTTTTCAATGCGGCTCAAGAGCGTGGCGTCAAGTGAATATAGCATTTTCGCACAAAGGAAGCGTCGCTAATGAGGGACGCCGCAATGGCTGGAGAGTTCGCCGAAGAGGTAATTAGGGCTGGCCCCGCGCGAAATTGACAACGCCCGATGGAACCGGCCGCGGTGGGGCCCGGCCCTTTGTGGCCGCGCATGCTGATCGTTTCGCCGAAGCGGCCACAATTATGGGGCCTTCTCGCTAACAGTTGTCGCGGGGCCCCGGCGGCTCGCCGACCGGCATTACTCGATAATCGCGCGTCCGTCCGTCACGCACCGGTGACAATGATAATGACGCGTGCGTTTGTGGGAATCGGACGAGATCGGCGCGATAGGCCCAGGGTTGGCAACTCGATCGGCTGCCCTGAAGCATGGGCCTATCGCGGCGGAGGCGTCCGACCGGACATTCGTTAATTTGTCAGGATCAGTGTTGAAGACTCTATAACGACACTCAGCACGTGAATAAGTAATGCTAATCAAGCGCTATATTGACGTTTGTGGGTGCGACCGTGTTTCACAAATTGAATATCCGATGAACCAAGATTTTCAAGATCGTAACATTTTTGTTAACATTTTAATTCAATAGAACCCATAACGCATATTGATTATGTTACAATTTTACCAGTTGCCTTTAACCGGAAAAGACTAACGAATAATTTAGTATCCTGCCGATTGCAGGGTCACTGTATACTAAATTATTAATACCGAATTGAAAAAAACCCCGAGGTGGTGTATAATTATCGGACAACAATGTCGCAGGTCAAAAACTTTTATTAATATAAGAAGAAAAACGCTTACGGCGATGGGTATAATGAGCCCGTGTACATTCGCAGACGGGCAAAAACTGCACGCATATTGCCAGTACGAGTATTTAAAAAACATCCAATACGGCGCGGCGTAAAGTTCTTGCATGTGGATTCTTTTCACTTGTAACGTTTAGTTGAAGTCGTTGCTAACGTTAAAATATGGCAGTTTATTCGAATATACATCGTTTAATACAATTCGAACGGACGTGGCTAACGTATAAATAATATAACTAAGGGAAAACTGTAACTTGTTTCGCAGAATTTCAGTCTAAAAATGTATCTTGACGTTATATTGTATAAAAATATATGATTGACTATTTCAAGTGGTACCTACTAAAAATAATTAAAATGCTTTTAGAATCGTTTTCACGTTTCATCGAATCCCTGGTGCAGAAGAAAAGCGTCCAGTAGTATAATGAAAAAGAAGTGGCCTCCTCAGGGATAATACATTTAATTCTGCAACCCTCGGGTATAGCAAATGTCCATGGGTGGCGGTATTCACTTAACATCAGGTGAACCGCCTGCTCGCTTGGCAACTTTTCACACATAAAGAAAAAAAATCATCAGAACACGCTTCTTGTGTCATCGTTTCAGGAATTTGGCCAGCTTGTCGCTTTATAAGTAGATTGCTGTAAATCATACATAATAGAAAATTTTACAACAACTATTCCTTTTGGATAGGATCCACGCTTCCTCATCCTTAGTTATGCATAGATTTCTTTCACGTGATCTTATCTTTATTATGAGTGTTACCAGGATTTTGGTCTGTGTATCAGACATCTTAGTGGCTACGTGAACAAAGAGAACCAAAATAGTCTCCTTTGCTGTATACACTTTACCTTAGATTAGTTTAATCTTCAAGATAATTGTTATTAAAACATAATGTCTCTATGACAGGTTCAAAGTTGATGTTATTTCCTAAGACTACTTTGCCAAGTATTCGAACAGGATTTAGTATCCTTACTTCACAAATTATATACAAAAATAAAAGTAAACATAAAATACATTGAAAAATAGCGCAGCTACAATTTTTAAATTGTAAAAGCTTTTGTTTCAAGTCGTTACTTCCATATGCAAAAATTTTATGCATCGAATCAAATCCTTATTTATTAAAAACAAATAATTCGTTGTGCTTCCGTAAAATACGTTAAGTTGATAATAATTTATGTCATGTAACTAGATATTGTAGACCAATTTAATCAATTATTCTAGTAAATTGGCCCAAATATAAATAGTTATATGGACCGAGAGGGGTATTCAGATATTATGAATATTCCTTTCATTAGATATGTACCACTCCCTCCAAGTCTATAAACACAAAAGCTTATGTTGCAGGCACTGATGCAATATATTAAAATATTTCTGACTGTTCGCATTTAGAATATACACGATTCGCTCTGAAAATTAAAAGATCTTTATTGAATATTATTGAATATTTATCAACGTGTAATTGTCTATAGATTTGCTAGTAAAGACTCAACATTGATTGAACCACATTATTAACAATAAAAATATAATAAATATGGTTAAGTTAAAAATGGTCATTAAAATAAGTCCTTTTTGATTGAATTGGATTTCTTTATAAAATAAATTATAGGCTGCATCAGAGATGATGTTAGCCAAACATCAATAACGAAAGAAATTACAATTTATTTGCGATAAATTAACATATAAAATAAATAATCATGTTTGCTTCAATTTTTAGATTAACGATAAGTTTTCATTGGCAGAAAGTCATACGAAAGTAACATTATTCATTATAAAATTGAAATATATATCATAAATATTGGCCGCAGATATTAGTGTTTATATATAAATCTTACGAAGTTACTGTCATAGATAAAACATTATTAGCGAGCTATACTCAATAGGCTAAATATTACTTACACGACATTCTTTCTTTATTACATACATTACCGCGAGCCCGTTTATAACACAATGTGTATAATACAAAGATGGCGTGATGGATATAGAAAGACAATTCCAAGTATTTCGCATTACGCAACGATAAAATATGTATTATGGGTGTGTGGAAAGGCTTGTGAATTCCCGTTCTGTAACTCAATACATCGTGAATGTATCGATGACGTCAATTAGTATATCTAAAGTTCATTAAAAGTATACGAAAGATCGCCCCTTAGTGCTTCCATGTCGATAAAGTTGTAAGCTGCTTTTTGCGTCGACTGTGGTAAGTCGGCGCAAAAAGACAATTATGTGTGGCGCAATTATGTCTACGTTGAGGAATGCAGAATCGCAAGCGCGTTCGCATTGATAACAGTCGGGGTAAGGTGTGTTATTAATAATAATAAAGGAGTTAGTCGCTCACGGGAGTCGCGGTGGTCGGTGCAATTTTGTACTGTTATTTCGGTTTAGGGATGCGCCATGGAAACGGAGGCCGTTAGAAAAAGCAATAGCCGGCCGCGGGGCAAAAACGCGAAGCGGCAGATACTGGTGGCCCGACGGGGATATCGACGCGGCCCATTCCTCGAACGCTGACCGATACATTCCCGTTCATTCGCGACCGTAGCTATTACGTTCGACGCTTAACGATGCTGCCTATTCGACCGAAAGTGTCGTAGATCAAATCTGAAACGCGAAAAGGATAAAACTTTCGTTTCGTCCAACGCTTTTTAGGGTTCCGTACCCAAAGGGTAAAATGGGACCCTATTACTAACACTTCGCTGCCAGTCTCACCGTCCGTCCGTCTGTTACCAGGCTGTATCTTATGAACCGTGATAGTAAGACAGTTGAAATATTGACAGATGATGTGTTTTTCATTTGCCGCTCTAACAACAAATAGAAAAAAAAAACAGAATTTTAAATGAGTTTTAAAGATGAATGGTACGGAACCTTTCGTGCGCGAGTCCGAAACGGTCTGGGCCGGATTTTCATCCACTGATTGTCATATGATTTCATTATAAAAAGTAGCACCCCCTACGACAAGACAGTAAGCAGCTAATGTGCCCCCAGTGATTTCAAGAAGTCATCGCACTTCAACAGATTTGTCCGATGTCGACGCGGCAATAAAATCTAATGTTTTCGGTTCAGCACTTTTACGTTTTTGCTTTTCATTTTACGGAGTAGACCCACAGTACACATAATCGCGGACGTCACTTGCGAGTGCAATTTTCATTTATATTATTTTTGTTACTTGTAAAAACGTGCAACTCGTAGCTGAATAGTGTCCTTAACAATATAGATATAAACATAATTTAAGACACAAAAAGAAGTTGTAAATTGTGCTGTAATGTGACCTGTGGTTCAAACAAAGGCAGAGCATAGCGAGCACCAAATGCGTGTTTCAAAGATAATCAAAAATAGATTACGCAACAATAATTACACTCGATCACGTCGCCCTGAATTATGAGGTATATTTAGGAACTGATTCAAGTCTTCGAACGGGTTTATGCGTCACCGGGCGGAGTCGTAACGCCTAAGATTTGCTCCGGTCCGATATCTTCCTGGAACATCATATATCTGAGCTCATTTCCGACGGGTGCGCTGTTATTATCGCCGTCAACGAATTCCTCGACGTTGATACTGCATTCTGTATCAAATATATGTAGGTTTCCAGTGTAAACGGTTTTTATTGTGAAAAAGGACGCTTGTCATTCCTTCGGGTCTAACTATAATAGGAAGAGGTGGATAAACCAGTCGGGGGCATTGTTGAAGCGATGCATATATAAAAGAGAACAGTACTGTTATCCGTTCCATCGATAGCGGCCATTACAAATATACTGTTTATAGTTGTATGCTTCAGATGAACACAGCGAAAGCTACTAGTAGAAACAAAACAAAAGAAGCGAACGTAGATAAAGAAAGATACTCGCTTTATACAAATTTGAATTTGAAGCCAGCGTCGGTCACATTCACTTCGGTAGTTATTATGTCAGAATACTTTTTAAAAGAATCGTATCGTTAAATTGGTAAATAGAACATGGTATTTTTATTTGTACTTTGACAAGTGTAGGCAAATTTAATGATATCGTGTACGCTTTTATATTACTAGGCTGATAAAACAATGATTGAACAGGAATACAGGTTTGTACTTGATAGGGCTTCCTATACGAGAGATTGGATGAGGTAAAAACACAATCTTTTGTTATGTCTTTAAATGGGCGAGTCTAAAAAGCGGGCTGGGATTAATCCTGGGCAATAACGGACATAATAAGCGACAGCTATTTAAATTGTAATCTGGCGACGTCCGTATAGGTGCCCTCGTAGGAGTCCCTTATAGCGCTGCCACGGGCGATAAGCCGCCGGGCAACGCGATGAAAAAGCATCGGTAGGAAGAGGACGGTGCGCGCTCGCGCTCTCGCTGTCCAGGGAATGTATCCAGAGGCGCGTAACGACGCGTCCCGGAACAGCCAGGTGGCCCGGGCGGCTGCGTATGGGCAAGGAATGCCGCCGAGCCGAGCGCCGCCTGGGAACACGACGATGCCCAGCTCGCGGCGATCGCTGCGCATCCGCAGAACCTGATTCTGCCGGCCGATAACGGCTTTCCCGGTAACTCTCTTTATGGTTCACTAGCGAACTGAATCACGGCGCGCAGGCCGTGTCGTTGCAGCGGGGGAAAACGTCTAGAAATCTCTCGTTACTATTAAACTCTTTTTTTAATAGTTTCTCGGTGTTTCGGGTCTCGATTTTAACTGATTATGCTCGAGCAACCTGAGTTCAGATTCCGGTGCTGATAACGATGAAATCCGATCTCATCCTTGGAGGTAGAACCCGGAGATTAAATCTGCATCTGTGATTAAATAAACATATTTTTTCGAAGGTGCGAGAAGTCTACCAATCCGCAGTTGCAGTCCGTATCCTGTAATAACTATGCTGAGGATGGCTTTATCTTTATGGATGATGGGCGATTATTTACAGGCCGTTTATTTACTTTACTAGTCATTTCTGATATCGGGGACGATGATGCGATGAATACTGTGTTATATACACTCCTGTTTCTGTGCAGCGGATATGGTGGGGCGGCGCTTTCGTATTGATATTCGGCTGGCGTGCAATAATCGGAAATAGGAAGCGTCCGTCGACAGCCGAGGGAATGATAAAGCCGATACGTGACGCGGGCCGCTTGATGGAAACCACTCCGCGATCTTCGTTGCGACAATTCGTTTCGTCCGCCGCGGCGTCGCACGTCGTACATTCTACATTCGGCGATCAAAACTGCAAGTGCACAAGAATCCATCACTGGCTAGGGCCGCGCGACGCATACTAAACGGGGCGATGTGCGTGCCTGCCCGATTGTGCGAAATATTAAATGTTGCATTCCGAGAATCGGCCGGAAACGACTACATTATGCGCGACGGGCGCGCGAATTGATCGATTTGGGCGACACTGCCCTCAGTGATGGGCGGCGAGCGCACCCAGTCGGAGGAATCTCACCTAGCGGTTGCGAGATGCGAAACCGCTGAGACGTCCACAAATCGACGTCCCGAATACACGGAGAATGGTGCGCCGCGCGAGCTGTTCAGACATAATGCGGTGCGCGGGTAATATATGTCGCCCACCGCGGTGGATGGACGGTCGGACGTGCGGGGCGCGCATAATGAGGCGGCGGCCGCCGAGCCGTCAGATGCGCGTGCGATAAGGTGCGCCTGAATTCACTTAGCTCGCTCAATGGAGGAGGTAATTGACAACGTCACGTATAAATTGAATCGTACTAAAACACTGAGGGCGCGCGGGGAACGGAGGGAGGGGGTCGGCAGACCTAAGAAGCGCGCGAGCGTCTTCCCGCTAATCGCACCGCGTACCGTCGACCCCGGTAATTAAGTCTTCTCAGTAGCTATGCTGCGCTCGTTGCGGATTTTTTCCGCTTTCAATTGCACGTTAATGGTTCGAGCGGTTAGTACGAAGTGGAATCGCTTTCGCGAAATAATACGGACTTGGGTAAAGCTCTTTTTAAACAAACAAAATCTAGGACAATATTATTCCGGCTGATACCCCTTTAACTTGTGTAATATTATAATGATTATGATACTGATGCCCAGCGGGTTCAAGAGTTCAGGCATCCGTGACAATAGACGAGACAAAAACTGCATGTAAATTACGGCTAGGGCTGCAACCGCTCAAAATGAGCGTCGTCCGGTTCGCTTGGAGTGATAATTCTGGGAACGTCAATGTCGAACATTGAAAAAGTATGTAGTCCGCTCCGTGCGCAACGACATTTTTGAGGTTTGTTCGTTTCAAGTCAAACAAAATAGGGATATAATTACGCGGAGGTATAATTAGTGAGAAATGAAAGAAACAAGTGGTCAACCCGGACTCGGGTCTCTGGATGCGCGGCGCGAGGAAAAAAGCGGCAAATCAGGATCGTTAGCAACCCTAATTGCGGGCATGACTCGTTATTATTAAATAACTGAGGTGTAATTAAAGCACTAAGTGATCAGTACGTCTCTTTTATGAGAAATATCAACGGCCCCGCTGCCTTAAGATGTGTTTTGTGCTTTATGAACACATCTCTACATTTTTCTCGAGTAATTGCTGTATAAGAGAACCATATAGGTACTTTATGTACTATTATAATAGTGATGACATTCAATCGCATTCACAGACAAGTTACCTTTACTAATATAACATTCAGTTGTGTTGTGACAATTGGAGTCTTGATTATGACTGTGCTTAGCAAATAATCCTCATTTATTAGTAGTCTATTAAATGATAAATAACGGTGATTTGGCTTGTATTTCTAAACGGAGTAAGGCATATGGTTTGACTATCAATCCTACGAAAACTCAAGCCATCATCATCGGGAGTTCTAGGTTGGCCGCTAAAATCGACTGGTCTACTTTACCCCCAATTATTCTTAACGGTACTCACATCCCGTAAGGTGAAGTATCTGGGAATATTTTTTGACGCCTGTCTTACATGGACACCACAGATAAATGAGACTAGTAAGAAAATGTTCTCTGCTATAGGCTCCTTACGAAGACTGCGTAATTTTCTTCCTACTGCTACTAAAGTTGCGCTCGCTCATTCACTAATTCTGCCCATCCTTGACTATGCTGATATTTGCTATCTTGACATTACCGAAGTACAGCTTAATAAACTTGAGCGGATTCAAAATTTGTGTCTTCGATTCATATTTGGGCTTCTTAAATATGATCATGTTTCCGATTTTCGTACACAGCTCAAGTGGCTCCCAATCCGCCTTCGCAGGAATACCCATATTCTCTCAGCTTTGTACAGTGTGTTGTTTAATCCCTCTACTCCGAAATACTTAAAAGATCGCTTCGAGTATCTTTCCTTATCCCACGAAAGGTCCCTTCGTTCTTCTGCCAATCTCTCCCTCCAAACTCCTGTACATTCCTCTTCCTTCTTCAAAAAATCTTTTACAGTGACAGCTGTGCGTTTGTGGAATTCTTTGCCCCTTCACATGCGATAAGATAAGTCACTTCTTTCTTTTAAAAACCTATTAAAAGCTCATTACTTGGAACTGTGAATTCACGCTTTCCTTTTTCCTTTAATATTTTTCCCGAAATCTTTGACTATCTCATTGACGTATAAATGCCTTCATCCTATGTTCATAAGTGATTCATGTACACCTCCCTCTGCTCTCTTCTTTATGTCTCATTAGTAAATATTCTTTTCACAATGGTTGTCTGGAAGAAATCGCTTTCTGAGCGATAAGACCGCCTATTGTACTTCCTTTTATATTCATTTGTAATTTGCTTTTTATATATTTTTTATTTTTGGTGTACAATAAAGTATAAATAAATAAATAATAAATTTCGACTCTATGACAAGCAATCGCATCACATGATGTGATAAATATCGATAGTATTAAAAAATCTCGCTGCCACCAGAATTCGAACCTACGCCACCTAAGGTCAGCTCGAAAATTTATCTACAGTAGAATCCCGATTATCTGAATCTAATTAAATCGGGAATATTCCGTATAATCGAAAATTCATGTAATTTGATTTCAAAGTCAAATCAAACAATAGTTTAATTTTAAAACCTTTTTATCATAGAAAGGGTTTTACATACGTCATTTAGATAAAACGATGTCAAAAAGAATCAAGTAACTTTACATAGGTTAAAATGTTTGGTAGGAAATAATTTATGATTAATTTCGTCGCACCGTCAAATTTCTTTTTTTTTATTTAGAACTAGCCAGTACGTGACTGCCATCCCACCTGATGTAAGTGGCGATGCAGCCTTTGATGGTAAGCGCGCTAGCTCAGTAAAAACCTATTCACTATTGCTGTTGCCTCTTACTTTCTCTTCTATCATTTATTAGTCGGTAATTAGAGTCGTGAAGAATGAGACCGGAAAATCCGATATCCGGATAATCGATATACGGATAATTGGGATTCTACTGTACAGATAATCTATACAGATAAATAAAATTTAAGTTTAAAAGTATTACAAACAGACGTAATATTAAACTAACCGCTTTTTACTAAATGCATATAGATGTATACACGTTACATATACCAAAATAACATTTTTTTCAATTTTTGTCCGTCTGTCTGTTTGTTCCGGCTAATCTCTAAAACGGGTGGACCGATTTGGACTTTCACTGGCAGATAGTTGATGTAATAAGGAATAAATTAGACTACTTTTATTGAAATTTTTTTTTTATTTTAAATTACACGCGAACGAATTCGCGGGCACAGCTAGTTTTAAATAACGATAAATAAAAAAGGCAGTTCAATTATTCAATTGGTACAGTGAAGTGTGATTTACCTACCAAGTACTGGACCAGCGATTTCAATTTATCTTTATGTATTGTGAATTCATCGTTGATGAGTTATTATTAAAAATAATAAAAAGAAAAATAATAAAGAAAAATGTGTATGTTTCCCAAAATAAATTAGTGTTTTACAGTAACGGTGATAAGTACCTAGTCTCTTGAATTGTAATATAACCAGGCCCCTTCATGCCTTTCCGACCATTCTCAGTAATACCACACCACAAACAGCCGAGTTCAATATAAATCTATAATTTTTCCTCAAATTAAATTCGTACGAGCAGATTTTATTTCGCGGAAGCCTTTCTCTTTTAATAAAAATATGTTTTGCTTCAAATTGAGAGACATCAAATAATAGGTACAGAGTATTGAGGCTTCGGTTTCTTATAAACGCCAACAAAGGATCAGGAATAAAGAGCGGGATTGATTTTAATGGATGTTTCTTTTAGCTTTTACATAAATACGCGCGATCATAGACATATGTAATCGTGTACATATACATAGTCGCGATGAAGCCATAGGAAAAATAATGTGGGCGATTATTTACTTACCGAGTGAAATGTTCAAAACCGTTGTTTTCGTCTGTATGATTGATAAAGGGGACATTTACGAATTCTAATCAGTCTAGTTGATGCCAATTCATATATAGCTGACTTTTGGAATATCTTTCATGGGTCACTGTTTCGGGACGGACTAGAGATGCACAAATACAATTTAATTTATTTCCAAAATATTTCTACATTATAATGCCTTTAGAACTGAACTACTATTGGCTGTCTGTCCTATGGGGGATAAAAAAACGATCTACAGTTTGATTATTGTGTAAATACAAATTGAAGTTTAAATAAAAAAATATGGAATGTATGTTCTATATAGTTTTATATATCTCTAGAAACATTACTTTAAAAACATTGATTTAACATAGCCCAAAGGGTAGAAAGTAGAAAGGGTAAAAACTTGTTTAATTTCGGAGTTTTGATTTAATTTTATTAAGTACATTATACCCGAAACTACGGAAGTATAAATTAAGGGACCACCTAGGATGCTATACCAACTGGTATAAGTGACGATGCAATCATGATTAAATATAATTATAAACACGATTAAATTTGAGCTTCATGAAACCATTTTTGATATCTACTAGCGTATATTAAATAAATCATCACCCGAACTATTACCACCAGGTTTAATTTACCAAATTGTCGGCGATATTATTTCGTTCTAGTTCTTATCTACGTCTTATATACGTACAGACTAAAAACATTCAATACGTTTTTTTAATATTCTTTGATATTGCTATAAAAATATATGTAATTGAAATAAACAGAAAACAAGTGAACGAAAAACACTTGGAGTATGATTGCCGCAACTCTACAATAATACATTGAGCGAGAAATGTGCAAATCGTAATTTCTGAAAGAGCGTTGCTTTTTATATTACGGGTGGTTCAAAGAGTTTATATAAGCATCGAAATATAACGAACCGAGAGTACTGCCTTTTGATACGACAAAAGCTCCGTTTTACAAATTAAACTCGAAGAAGAGCTTTGAGCTTCCTAAAAGCTTACGCTGAAACGAATCCGAAACACGAACCACGCGTTAATACATTAGTGGGGAGTTGTTATACAAATATTTAGCATGTGAAACGAATAGAACTAGAGGAATGAATGGACGTTTCCCATTCGGATCCGTAGTGGGGGACAGTTGTGGGAGAAAAAAATGCGACCGATACGAAGAATGCGACACCTCGACGGAGGTCCTCGGCGAAGTTCAATATTTATTTAAGAGGTGGGCGCGAGGGGGATGCGGGGTGTGGCGGGGGAAGGGGGGGGGGGACGGCGCGGCAGCCCCGAGATGCTGTCCGAATGTTAATTTTCACGATGAAGCCATTTGCCGGACGTGGATCGACGCCATAACGAGCCCGCCACATTTCTCGAAACCCATACGAGGCGGCGGCGGTCGCGCAACGCCCGCCGTCGCATGAATTAGATATTGGAGTTTCGCCATTGCGACGCCTATCGGCGCATGACGATTGCTACGCGTCGAAGCTTCGGGGTTCATCGCTTCGGTTGCAAGGCGTCGGCCACACGAAGAGCCTTAACATTATTATTATTTTTTTATGTTCATGACCGTATGACATCCGTGGAACGCAGAAGTTGCCGAATTTAAATTAAAAACATATATTTTTATTTGCGATTACTTTTTCTCGTCGTTCATAAAGTAATCCCGTCCGTCGATCCTAGCACGGTGGTCGCGGCCGGATCGTACATTCCACGCCCGGTGAACATTCTGATGAGTCCCATTCATGCGCCGATAGACAATGGCGGGCGTTAGCGCGGCAGTCCGTGGGCGACACGACTGTGTCAACAGCGCTCTGTTTGCGGAGAAACCTGCATCGGAGACATCGGCGTGAGAACCGCCGAGGCGTCTCGACCGACCGATCTTTCCCTCCGGAATGGGTGCCGTGCGCCAGATTTCTTTTAAGCGGAAGACACAGTCTGTTCGCTTTTGTTTTTTTTTTTTTTTTTTCATATCATTTCCCACTTATCCATACAGTAGATTAAGGTTGCGTTACAGAGTCTGTAGCAACGATTGAACTGTATAAAAACGTATCTTTCTTTTTAAAAGACGCCGTGGCATAAGATTAGCTGCTCAGCTGCCGAATACTCCGATAGGCACTCAACGCTAAACTTGTTACAGGTTCGTGGCAGAAGTAATGGGCTTTGTTCTTGGAGTCACATTATCGGACACATTCTTCTCTTTTAAAAACGCGACCCGCCCCGGCTTCGGACGGATGCAATGTATTATACATATAAACCTACCTCTTGAATCACTCTATCTAGTAAAAGAAAACCGCATCAAGATCCGATGCGTAGTTTTAAAGATCTAAGCATACATAGGAACAGACAGCGGAACGACTTTGTTTTATACTATGTAGTGACGCACAGCAAAGAGACGTTTACATTTCAAGTAACATTTTATCACAGTCACTCACTTGTTTTGCCATCCCGGAACCCCTCTACTAACACTTAAACTTTATGGTATGGTATTAAAGTTCAAATTGTCTTTTAATAATATATAAGTATACAAATCTTTTGTACGGGAATATAGAAAAGTGTTGTTTTTAGACTTATTCAGGCATTTTTTAAAAAATGTTATAAAATAAGAATTAATCGAAATCGGTTCAGCTGTTCTCGAGATTTGCGCTTAGCAACACATTCAGCGATTCATTTTTATATATAGACACATTGCTTTTCGTTACCATGGCAACGACTCTGGGCAAGACGTCTAGCTTGATTGCCTAACCGCCGTCAGAAACTAAAATTACACGAACTATTACACTGGGGTATAACGATATTAAAGGTCAGCGCCCTGGCGCGAATTACCCTGGCAAATGTCCTAGAAACTGTACAATACGTATTAAGCAGTGCCTTTTTGACTGTCTCTGTGACTACAATCTATAGTTAGTCAATATAAAGTCAATTTACTTCTAATTTCAAATTTTTATGGAGTGCAATAAAAACATACCGCGTGCAGTCCGAAATACAAGCCACTTTACGTTTGGGTCTGTGGTGAGACAGGACCAGTCTGGCAGGTATAGGATTATGAGATCCAATTTGTACGGCATTCCCTCCTTTGCGGTATGCCAATAGATTTAGGGCCCTAGTTTATTAAAAAAAAGATGGCGTGACTTGTTTTTTAGCGTCGAGGAACGGAATGTCTCGTGTATAAAATCGCTAGCGAACTGGTGGTCAAGTTCAAGATGTGACCATCACTATGAATAAAAATTCACGAAATACATTGAGGCACTCGTTAGTTGAAACGATCCGAAATTGATTGATGATCGAAATAAAATAAATACTAAAATGTAACGAAGACCATAAGGGTAAAATAGTAGAGAATAATCGCAGTAAATTAGCATATCGGCTAATTTTATAACCTTTACGCATTAACATACAATAATGCTTTTAATGTGGTATTCATAAAGTTGCAAAAGTGAATAATCAGACGGTGGATCTTCCTATGAAATATTCAGTACTATAACGCGACACGCGCATACTAAACGTGTATTAAGAGCGATGGACGACAATAAAAATCGCAAAAAAAATAATTTGTAATTGTTATATATGCACGTAACATTGAAACTTACTATACTCGTAAAAATGCGCCTAAATTCAGAAACAAATTAAGAATAGGTAAACTGAAAGCGTTCTTCGATAAGAGTAATGTTTAAGTTTATTTTCATTTTGTAACGGGAAAATGTTCAAACAAAGCAAAATTAAACATGGTAAATTATTATAAGTTTCTATTTTTGATTAACAGAGATAACTGGAAAACACGAAATCAACCGATTATGATACTTATTTAATTAATAAATTATTGTTTTTGTATTTATCATAAATCCAATTCAATTCTCATCTTTAAAAGCAGAAGTGAAAAATAAAAAGAAAAACAACGAAATGAGTCTCAAAGCGTCAAAAGGATAACATGTTCATCGAAGGTTCGAAGTCGTAATTCGAATGTGTTAAATCTATTAGGCGTGCGGTAATAAAGAATGACAGGTTACGCAAACACTTCAAGTTCGAAGCCGCAAAGCCCGCTGCGTAGGGTTCTATTTGTTTTTGTTTTTTTCATTTTTTTTTATGAAGCATTGTCCTTACGGTTGGATAACATTATCCTGTGTCGTAAGGTTTTAAATGCATACATAGATTTCACGTGAACAAACTTCCAGATCCGAAACAATTAATTGTGGGTCACACAAACGTGTGGGAATCGAACCCACGACCCCCGTCGCCGAAGCCAATACATTGGCAACTGCGCGAGGATTCATAAACTTGACTTTATCTAGCCCTTTATTGTTATATTCATTACACCTGGAAACATTTATAAACAATATCTACCTATAAAATACAGAGGCAACATCATTATAAAATAACCTTTTCTTACTTTTTTTCCCACCAGGTTACAATATCATGTATATAGTAGTCATTAGCCGACAATAATACAACTTAGAAATTGCAGAAAATATTGACGCAAACATGACTTGGTACAATTTATTTCTCTATAAATGTGTATAAGTAAATTTCAGTTATTTTACTACTATTAAAAGCAATTGTAACCCACAGCTGAGGAACCTATGAAGTAGCAATACTTCGACACGAATAATATTTCACACGATATCTTGTCCTCATTCGACATAACATTAAAGAGAAGTACCTACAACACGGCAGATACTATTTAAGAAACAATAGATCTGTATGTATAAAGGAACGCGAAATCTATTTATAATCCCCTGTAAATATTTAGCAATTCAAATTGCATATTGAAGGAAATTTTTCAAGCGTTTTCGTTGCAATTCTAATCGCGCAGTCAACGACTAGACACTAAAGCATTTGGGTCGAAATTAAAATTTCAAATATAATTTCAAATTACGGCACTTAAATATTTATCGCGTTAAAAATACCCATTTCACGGACAGATTCATAAATCGAAAATCAGCCACCAAATAAGGTGGCATTCGTGTTTTCCTCCCTGAATATCAAATCCGATGAGCTGTCATTTCTAATGGTTCAAATCAACCAAGCATAAAATTGACTTAAACGTAGTTTTTTTTTTTTTTTTACTTTAAACACTTTTTTCTTTTTCCTAACACTTTTTGCCTAAACAATTTTTTCTTTCCTTCTTTTTCCTAACACTTTTTCCCTCTTTAATTCAGTCGTTTTGGATTCGTATCGGTGAAAAAGTCAACAGCAAAAAACAGTACATTAAAGCGTCAAAGCTTTCACGAGTTTAAAGTGATTGTTACATTAAAAATAAGCAATCTTATCCGAGTTCATGTTACTGAGATAAAATTGTTGCGGCCCAAAAAGAAAAACGACGATATTCCGAATGACAAAAAGGTATATTATCGGTGTTTAAGCCTCGGTACCCTAATTCGATATTCGAACACGCGAGTTGATATTTTTAAACGTCGATAAGAAAGAATTTGTAAAACAAAATCAAGCCTCTACCTGTCCGCGGTGAACAATATAGGGCCGTGCTTCAGGGGTACGTAATCGGCTCACTAAATCGAGTCGTTTTAACAAGTCGAAACAAGCTCGCGTTTTTTTATTCCTCGTTTGGTTGTGAGAAATCGGCGGGTCGCCTGTGGTCTTTTGTGTGTTACACGACCGGCCACTTCATTAACAATGTCCAACGGTCGTTTCGTGCACCCTATTGACATCATTTGCCGGATGGTAAAAAAATTATGTGTGATTTTTAAATATCGTTCGATTTATAACTTTGGCGTTCTAGAAGTTATACTTCTTGAGGTGTATTTGGAAAAAATTATGATAGTTTTCACGATGCGCCGACTTCCAAAGAGCGACATGATGAAGTTGGTTGCAAAGCAAAGTAAAGTCAACTTCACAGTATTATCATGGCAATGAATAACAACCTTTTGACATTTACCTACAATTCCAAGTTATATCCATTATCATTGCAATTGATAATGGTTTTAGCTTGATATTTTGCACAAACAAAGAGTGGCATAGAGGATAAAATTTTTCTTTTGTTACGCTAAAGAAGTATAACTTCTTACGTGCATACAAATACATAAGTACATAAGAACACAAAGAATTTTTGAAGTTATACTTCTTTTGGCTAGGGAAAAATGATGAGTGTCAATTATTACAATGCGCGCACACACCGTCACGAAAAACTGACACCCTGAAGTTAGCTAGACGTACGTTTGCGTGAGAACTAACAACTGTATTCACGATATTTACTACCACATGTTAGTTTTGCATATATGTGATAGATGCCGCTCATATGTGTTGAAACAAATTAAAAGTTTATTTCTATTGTGAATGTCGTTTTTTCTACAAACGTAGAATAAGGCGAAAGATAAAATGTTTGAAAAGATTTTTATCTTGTTACGCCAAAGAAGTATAACTTCTAACGCACGATGTAAGTACATACACACACCTTTTTATTGTAAAGGTAAAGGGCGAGTGCAGACATGGTGAAATGGATTCGTATTTTCACTTTTAATAACACATCTAACGTCGAAGTGAATTCTAATCCGTGCATATGTAGTCTCTTTAAGAATTTTGATTTTATTCCTTTGAACAAATTTCTTAGTGATTTTTTGGGGCCCAGATTATAAACTATACTCGTATAGCTCTTTTGTAGGTGAAGATAATGTTTATGTCAGTCGCGTATCCCCAAAGTAGAATGTCAAACCATATCTAAATCGGTTTTTTAACCGCAAAGGCTGCTGAGCAAAGTCTTCTCGCCAGTTTATTGATACGGGGCCCCATTGCAGTTTGGCATCTATCGTTGCCAAGGAATACGGTCGAATCAATACGGTCTAACGCTCCACCATATAAAAGTACATCAATACTATTCAATAGCTTTCCATATTGTTAATTTGCAACTCGCTATCCTTTAACGTATTAGCAAGTATTGGCAGTTATGAAAATTTAGTTTCGCATATCAATCATGGACCTCGACACGAAGTACATCTTGGCGTGTCCTCTCATATTACACACTCCAGATTGCCTTTCGGCTCGCTTAGGGCATTTTCTAATACGCTTCGCTGGACATTATCGTTCTCTTATCGTGCATCGTTGTGACGCACCGACCCTAATTACCATTAGTATATCGTTACAGGTATTCGCTACGTTAAACTGAAGTTGCATAGTTCGTTTCGTTAAATTCGTGGAATTGTGTCTTCAAACAAACTCTAGTCACTTGTAGGACAAGCAAGCGGATCTGTAAGTTGGAACAATGTGAAGTGTTCGCATCAAAACGTGTGTAAATAAATCATGATATATCAATTTTTATAATGTTTTGGTATTAAGCTGTAACGGCCAGCAACTGCACGAATACGGCCCATTCTTTTTTAGATGACAATAGATGATAAACGACCTTCCAATGAATAGGAAAGAACAACTTCAAATGGACAAAAATTAAGTGATTTGTCTCCCTCGTGACAATCGAAAACGACTGCACGATAATGTGAGAAAGAGACGGCGCCAATTCCGAGTACAAACGGGCTAGGGACAGTATCATTTTTTAAATAAAAATGTGGACAATTTATCATCCATAATAATATTATGATTATAAGAGCCGAGTCCGCTGGAATATATAATGCTCTCTGTAATCATTTTTTTTAGGTTCACGAGGTTATAAGTAATTTTATACTACGGTAATGAGCAAAGCAAGCTGCGTTTTACGCAATCAAGAAGTTCCTCATCACGAAATTACTTATAGAAGAGGCTAGAATTATCCAAATTTAACGAGGACGAATTCGCTATGGACTGTTATGGTTATTCATTCGACGCAACGGGCAAATTCATATAATCAATTAATGTTCGAATTTACCGATTAACAAGAAAAGTATGTTGTTATAGTGTTCGTTAAAATATATATTCTCCATCTGTATACATAAATAAATGGTGAGACGGTAATATTGAAGCATTTAGAGTTCAAGAGGAGCGATTGAATTAAAAAAGCGTCGCTAATGAAATTATTCAAGCGTACACGTGGTTCGTGAAATTGCGTCCCAAAGTGCAGCGTGGTTGCACGGCGGGAGTGCGGCCGAAGACATCGGGCGATGCAGACTGAAGGGACGAGGAAGGGGAAAGGGAGGAGGGGGAGATGAGAGGAAAGGGCGGAGGGGCAGAGGGGCAGAGGAGGGGGGGCAGGTGAAGGCAGCGGCGCGCAACAAAGCACCTTCCGGGAACCGCCACAATACAGGTTTGCGGCGACGTGCGATACCTTCGCAGATACAGGCGACCGGCCAGGTAATGCACTCGGCCCTTTTGTCAACCGAAACGTCGCCCGCGGAGAAACGGTACCTCGACCTACAGCTGCGGCTTCGTAACAGGCGTTCGAGTTTGTTCATTCCCTTAATACATCACCAGGTCAAGGCTTCAAATTAATAACCGTTAATTAAAACTGCAGAGAACAAGGATAAACGTATGTATGAGACTAAAACAGTGCCCGAAGCGTAATACTATAAAATGACCTTAAAAACTTTTTTCGAATTTGTCATTACATATATGAACAACTAATCGAAAAAAAATAGAACCGGTGATTAAAGAAGATCGGTATACCACTTCTTTTCGTCCTCTCGCAATCTTTCAAATACATGGAACGAGACCTCCTTAGTAAAATCCAGTCTGGGCCTAATACACAAATCAGGCTTGGGGAGTACTGTGGTATAAAAGTAAAAGTGAGGCAATACCATTTATTTTCGTCCTTCACTTCGCAATCTCGCAAATACATGGAGCGAGATCTGCATAGTAAACTCTATAGTGTGGGCCTTATACACAAATCGAGAATGCGTCATCTCCACAAATCAGGCATGGGGAGCATCGCGGTAGAAAATTAAAAGTGAGGCAATACCATTTATTTTCGTCCTTCACTTCGCAATCTCGCAAATACATGGAGCGAGACCTCCGTAGTAAAATCTAGCCAGGGCCAAATACACAAATCGAGCACGCGTTATATCCACAAATCAGGAAAGGGGTGCATCGCGGTAGAAAAGTAAAAGTGAGGCAATACCATTCATTTTCGTCCTTCACTTCGCAATCTCGCCAATACATGGAGCGAGACCTCCATAGCAAAATCTAGCCAGGACCTAATACACAAATCGAGCACGCGTTATATCCACAAATCAGGAAAGGGGAGCATCGCGGCAGAAAAGTAAAAGTGAGGCAATGAAATAAAACTCTCGGGCGGGGCCGCGACTTGTTCCGGCGCTTCAGATTTATGGCGGACCCGGCGACTTTACTCTCACCCGTGCATATCATTCAACCGACGTACCAACGTTATATGGTGAGCCGCTTACACAGGAAGAGGACCGGTCCAATATCGGCATTAGTTTTCCAGGCATATCTTCGAGTCCGCTTTAATGACGATGATGATTTTTTTCCGTTATTAATTTCCCTTACTGTATAGTTGCGTTATTCAATATTGTAAAAGGAAGTTAGTTATAGACAAGTTTATCGTATTTTCAGTACCAGATGCCCAACAATTGTCTGTGGTCCTCACAAATGCTTAATTTGCGTGGGAATCGAACCCATAAACCGCCGCGCTGAAGGCAATAACTCAGCAACCAAAGCCATAATAAAATGAGTTCAATCGAAATTGCACAGCCCTAGTTTTTATTCAAAAGTTTATTCCAAGTGTATTCAATACTATAGTGGAGGCAGTTTTGTTAGAGTTCACAAGCTTAGTAATCTTGCTAGTTATACATAAACATTACTATAAATTACATCAGATTTTTCGTATTATAACAATATCTTTTTTACAGCCAAGTACACTTAATAATCAATATAATTGAGATCCAAAAAAAATCTAATCAATAAATTTCTAGTTGGTTAAATGAACACGGAACCTGGCGAACTGTGCTGTTTGTTTAAAACACGAGGACTGTCACGATTCAGTGACGCAGTCTGATTGAATTTGAAGCTGCAACTGAAGGATTTAATTGGATCTCAAAACGCCGGGTGAATTTTGCGTTGCCAATTGTCGTGCACACAGCGACATTTTAAACGAGAAAAACGCAGTGGGGCCGTGTCATAAAAGCATAAAACGGATAACAGACAATTACCCGGTTCTCGGAATTGTGCGCGGTACAATCGTCCACGTGCGTACAGTCATTATTAAGGCGAAATGGCACCGACGTCCATTTCACGGTACCGAGTTAGCCCACGCTTAGAAATTAACCATGGGCATGTGTCACACTCGACCCGAGCGAGGCGACGCTTGAAATTGAATTCTATAATTTCGCATTCTAATAGCTCAAAAGTGTGGACATTATAAAACAAGTAGAATATAATTTAAAAAACTAAAAAGCCCGACTGAGTTTCTGTGTATTTTTTTTATTTTGATATACTCAGTGTCACTCTCACAGTAAATACGAATCTAACGACACCTCTCAAACTAAAATCCATCACGCCGTTCAAGCTGCAGAGCGTGCCAAACAATTATAAATACATACATAAATACTCATGAAAAACATAATCCTCCTTCGGACGCAGTCGGGTAAAAAATTCAAATAAAAGTTGTGGAGAATAGATTGATCTTTAAGGATGGATAGACACATTTTGTTGATTAATCCATTATTATAAGTCATCGATAGAAATAGACCTATTCATTAAATGAGCCATGTTAGGCCTCGTATTGACTGCAATGATTTATCAATCAAAGGTAAAAAGTATTACACAATATCTTTATATCATAAATTCTCGATAAGGGTACCGCGAGGCACGTCTCTTATTTAGTTTTCTTTAAATTGGTTGCTAGCATACAATAAATTTCGGAACTCGAAATAATTACCTACTATTAATTCATTCATTGACAATTTCAGTATGTTTTACTGTGATACCAGTATTGCTACTAGCATTATAACTAGTTGATTACCATACAGCAGGCATCACATTTTAAAATAAAATTAAAATCCCGAAGCACTAATAACTCTATAATTAATATAAGAGCAATGGAACATTGACCAAGAAATAAAATTAAGCTATCCGGTAGAGTTGTCGAAATGCTAAACTCATTAATACAAAAAGAAAATTATAATACAAACGACCATTCCTTAACAGTTTTTAGCGTAAAATTTTTTGAAAAACATCATCGCAGTCATAATTAAATATTTACGCAATAATCACTATAATGAGCGTACTAGTCATGTTTCCTTGTTTGCATTTTGTATGAATAACATTTAAAAAGAAACGGACGTATTTTTACAACAGCGCAGCGATTAAGCACGTGTTCTACATAATTAATGCAAAAACACACTAAATGCAAAGTTTGTCGCCAGCAAACTTCTCTCGGTCTAAACAAATAGGCGTTCGCGCCTAAGTACACGTAATAGGGTACTTGGTACTTCGGATTTAAAAATTAAACGACAAGTAAACGACCAGTGTACGATAATTAAGTGTGGGAATTATTGCAACCTGTCCCACTTTGCACAACGTGAGAGCGTTTGAAACGACCGCGTTCTACATTTAATTCGAGCGTCGGTCCTGGCGTCAGGGTCATGCAAATTAAGAGTGCAAAGTTATAAAGCGACACGCTGCAACACTCATTGCTTCTCGGAAGCTCTCAGAGTGCGTGATGGTTTTATACTCCGCAATTTAGCATGTTGAAACAAGTGGATAATGACATAATCCCCCTGGCCCCCTGGCCTAGAGTTTCGTATCACAATCGGCGTGAGTCACGCTAACGAATTCAGTGCGTCTGAACTAGAAGCTACAGCCAGTGCGTTATCGAGGTGATGAAATCGCAAGCGATGCTTACCTCTATCGGACTCAAATAGATGGAAGCTTCATTGCAATACAACAGTCGCACTGAGAAAGCAAACATTAATTTTAAATTAAATTCGTCCATTTTCGAACTTCAGACTTAAAGACTCGTTAATACGCCTTCTTTTCACGAACAAGCGCATTTAACGCATTCTTTTCTTTTTGTGAAATCAATACTACAAAATTCTAGCTGGGGATACCATCCTCGATGGTTTTTTGGAACGAAGTTCTTATCGCGCGTTGTGAAAGGGGGCTAGAAGGGGGCATTGCTTCAAATGCTAAGAAAACAATGTAGAAGAATACGTTAAGATTTTCGTCGGTGTGGCAATCAGCCGTTTAGCTCAGTGGCTAGAGCGTCAGGCCGCGAATACCGAAGACGTGGGTTCGATTCCCACAGCGGCCACAATCTTTTCGCACTTTTTCTACATATTTTAATGTTCAATCTTAAGTGCAAAGATTAGCAGTATAAACAATTAAAATTTATAAAAAAATATTATTATAACTTAAAAAAAATAAAATTTTATTACAATTCCTTCACTAATTAATCGAAAGTAACTTCGTTCCATCCGGGTGTCCCTTGACACCTCTCATTTTTTTTATGAAACATTAGTTACGCATTGCAATCCCAGCTTAAATCTCAATAAAAATCTTATGAACCGCCCATTATTATACATATCTATTTCATTTAAAAAAACGTCAATTTTCCCTTAATTAAATCGAGCTGACACTAGTTGTATTCCGAATAAGCGCTTCTGTATTAGTGACAATTGTAAATTTCGTTACTTTATTTAGTGATGGAAAATTTAGTAATTTCACGTCTGGTCATTAACTATGATCGGTATGGACGCATGGTGGGCGGCGCCATCCGCATGAAAAGAGGGGCGTCCGTCAATGCCGTAAAGATGCGCGAATCTGGAGGAACAATCTGCCACAAGAGTTTCAAGAAGTAACAATAATGCAAAAGTAGGGCAGAAAGATAACACAATTCAGGAAGACATAAGATGGCGTGACCAGCTGCACTATATCGCGGGAAACTCTTAAGAACGTCTTGTGGCAGACAGGCAATAAAACAACGCAGCGGGTAAATGGTCACTAAGTATCATAATAATGTCATCACGACGTTACTCCGGGGAGCTTTTAAAAATTAAAATAAAGTTAACACGACAATGACAACATAAAACATGTTACGTTTTGTTAATGAAAAAAGTATTACAACACGATTAAAAGATTTAAGTGTTAGTCCGCTTTGAAATGGGATCAGCTTATCGTTTTCGATGGTGTTTACTTTAATATAATATGTGTAGATTGTACATACTACATCGACATCCACGTATATTCCAAAAGCTGGCGCGTCTTAGCATCGAGTATACTGAGATTATTTAATTACGAACCTGTAATCCTAAACCGGGCTTAATGTGAGACTTTGATAATTGCATATAAAAAATTTCAAAACCGGGACCTCTTTTTAAATGAGACAAAGCCGCCCATAAAACAAAATCAACAACACGCGTTGCTAATCTTTAACAGTCGTAAGAAGGCTCTAGTTGTTTCACCTTTGTCTGCAAAGGTCTGAAGGAGTAACCGGGCAAAAACATGAAAAAAAAAGAACTAAAATATTCTTTATGGTGTCCTCGTGTGAGGTCGTAGTTTTTTCTCGGACTTTCTGGTCGCTACTACAGTAACACAAACATTTTAATATAACCCGACCGTTCAGTTATTGAGGTTACTTAAAAGGTATTTGATGTTATAACAATAATCAGTTACACTTTAATAATGGTGTCGTCAATGCGTATCATATAAATTATGAAACGAAAGAAAATGTTGTGATTTCACGAATGATGATGCAAAGAATTCCGTTAAAATAGGTAGCTGAGATTAAAATAAATTTCGATATTAATAGCTGACCTGAATTCTATATTTGAAAATGTATTATACTTTCGACCTGCATTATTGATCATCGACCGGTTTTAGAAACTTATAACATAACAATTTTTCCCTTACACACACTACAAAATGATATACAATAGAAATATACGAACTTGTCTTCTGAATTTCAACAAAACGACTAAATAAAACAATTAACAATGGAGGTCTGTAGACGGATCGTTAGAAATTATAAACTACAAGAACAATGCAAACGGTCACGCATTGTGCAGTTTCGAGAATTGTAGTGTTCAATGAATTATTTCCTTTTTACTGAATGCTTAATAATCTATTTGCACGTATTAGCATTCTTAGTCAATTTGCTAGCAAACCACAGCTAATCAGCTTTACGCCTTTTTGTTAATCAAGAAAATTTATTTGTGCTCCGACATAAAAAGAATATAATATAAATATTTCGAAGATAAATTCGGCCCCACAATATGCACTACTCATGAAGGACTATGCCTAATACAATCTGTACCGCTCCTCGGCACCGTTGCCCAATTGTGGATCTTCGAGAAGGGAGGCTTCTACTAAGTTGATGCCTTTAATATTATCGCCGTTTACCATCTTGCGAGATTGTATTCAAGCGCTACCCAGTGATCAAAAAGCTACATATATTCGATTCCCGTAGCGCCGCAAACTTTCGTCCATTTTTTCGACAAATTTTAATATTTAATCTTACGTGTAAGTATGCAGAGATAAGCACTTTAAAATTATAAATTTCAAATAGCAATGCCGCCATCTCTCGTTCGAATTATCGTCGTAAAACGATATTAGAAATTGTTTGTGCGCTGTAAATGGCATTACAAAAATAAAATGCGAAAAAACAATGTAGATAAAATACGTCGAGATGTTCGCCGGTGTGACATTCCGCCGTTTCGCTTAGTGATTTAAAAGTCCGGACGTGAATCTGGAAGAAGTGGGTTCGATTCCCGCAGCGACTTAAACTTTTCGTCCATTGTTCCTACCAATATTAACCTACGCATAGATTTAAATGGGCAAAATGTACCGCGTAATGGTGTACCTCAACAACTATCACACGCACTTATACATGCCGACATAATGATAGGTTGCATGCGCATGTTTCGCCGATGCGGATACTGGCGACCGCTTCCAAGAATCTCCGCTACCTCGCGCAGGTGCAGACGAGATCACGCCCGGCGAAACCATAGTGGGATAGTTACGACTGCGACCAACATAAACAGAGATCCGAGTGCGCTTTTGCGACATACGTTGCAAGTACTCCTACCTACGCATATTAATGACCATAATTACATATATTTAAGACAACCGCCGGTAGATATGATGGATAACTGGATGGAATGGATTATGTTAATATGACGATGGTAAATCTATTGTTGCATCTGCGCTTTGTACTAAATATATAAGTGTATATTTATAAAGATAGAAGCCCCTGCGGTTTGTACTAAATTTAATAGGATAAGAAAGCCCACCTTGATTCAAACATATGTGCGGGTTTTTTCTCTCAATATAATTTCGCGCGTAGGATAAAGCGAAATATCTATACAGTTCAATGATTTTATTCTTAAGTTAAAATCACAAGTTTTACTTTAGCAAAATATTTTTGGAGGAAAAATTAATGATAACAAAACACAAATGCTTCAAGTGTACTATTACGTAGGAACATTACTACGTTATGAATATTAATATTTCAACCTGTTGCTTTCCGTATAATAATATTGGAGGTCAGGTACTAATCATCTAGATTCTTAGTTTTCTAATTTCGAATCATCACCGAAGGTATAATTGTTGAAGGTAGTAAATGTGCACCCTACATTGTTAGATTTTTTAATAATTACATCCCGCAATATTCCTGAAGAATAATATTCGTGAAACTTTGACAAAATCTTATCAATAAAAAATTATATTTAAAAGTAAACCCTATTTAATAGTGCTGAACACACCAGAGAACTCGTCTAAAAGAAACATTGCGATGTTTCGGGCACTGGCGTGCAATCGCGATTATAATTTCATCCGCAAACACAATGGACGAATAATCTTCTATATATATAAAAATGAATTGCTGTTCGTTAGTCTCGCTTAAACTCGAGAACGGCTGGACCAATTTGGCTAATTTTGGTTTTGAAATATCTGTGGCAGACCAGGGAAGAGAAACGATGTGAAATTATGAAAAAATTGCATGGAAAATCGACAATTTTATTTTCCCATACAAACTGTTCCTACCTGTCAGACATTTTATGGGTGCGTACCGAAAATTCTTTTTCTGTGTTCGGATTCACATATTTCGAATATTTTTATCGCTCACCGCACACCTGCGTTCGCACAATGTGAACGAATTTACGATGGGTCTGAGGGGCGCTCCAGTACTCACCACTCGATGCTCCTGTATCCCTTCACGCAGCAGTGTATGCTCTTGAACTTGTTCTGGAAGCCGTACTCGAAGGAGACGGGCTCCTTGGTGAACTGCATCCAGGTGGTGTTCGTCGGGAAGGTGTTCGTGGCGCAGTAGCCGGCCGCGAGCGCCCGCGGCACGGAGCCCAGGAACGCAAGCGTCAGGAGCGACCACATGGCGGTTTATTCTTGCATCCTGATCGGCAAAAGAAGTAACGTGTCACATTGAATTTTCCTTTCATGCTAAGCTTTTTTACCAGAAGGAGGGTTATGTTTTTCGAGAGTATGTATGTATGTGCGATTGTTAAGCACGCTCTGCAGCCCGAGCTGCTTGATGGATTATAGATTGAGAGGTGTCGTTAGAATCGTTTTTACAATGAGTGACAAATAAATAATTACACAGTAACGCAGTCGGGATTTTTAAATTATATTCTCCTTGTTATATTTCGAATTTGTCAAACGAGCTGGCGGTGCGCCTGATGTTATTACTCCATACATACAAAAAGTTTTGCGTCCCCTGTCATCCATTAGAAACATGCCCCAAAACACCTAAAGCCAAGAGTTATATTAAAGTTATCATTTACATGATTACTTTACTTTACTTTAATTCTTGGCTTTCCGTGTTTATTGAGCTCCAAGAGTAATCTCTGGTTGCAGATGGTGGCTTGCATGGAGATTTCAGACAGAGTGTGTATTAAAAAAAATACCAGGGATTACTCTTGGAAGATATATCTTACAACCAAATGTTCGTGTCCTAGGGATTTTGTTATTCAATTTGTTTGAAATTTAAACAAGCGATTGATTCGTTATAAAACATTTCGAGCAACCCGTATGATAAAAACCAAAGTATAAATAGGCGCGTTCTCAAAACCGCGTGAGCTAATAACAGCTACTAAAATAAACGATAATACCTATTAGAATGGGTTTCATTCGAAATAATACGGGCCCTTACACTCAAGCACCATACGTGATTTGATTACGTAAGGTGTCGTAAACGACATAAATTTACAGCACGCATATTAACCGACCGCAAATGGATTCCATGCAAATTGATCGTTCAAAAGGATTCGGGCTTTCATGATATCTGATTATTTTTTTAAGTGGATAAAGCGTTTCCAATTCATTTCAACGAAATGGACTTTTCTATGTATGTATATGTTATTTGCTAGATGTTTAAAGATATTATACCTATTTGTGTTTATTAGTTTTTGGACGATGTTGTAGCATTAATCTCACTTTAATTCAATATACTCGAGTAATGAAAAATAATTTTATGTGCTGAATTATCACGCGCTCAACGGTGAAGAAAAAACAAATTACTAAGAAACCTGTAATAACAAAAAAAATATTTCGAAGATATCCAATGATCAAAGATGAATCCAATCCGCAGTGGGGTCCATGAAGGACTGTGCCCTAATATAATCTGTGCAGAGGAGGCCTTTTCCCAGCACTGGGACTTTACAGTACAGTATTACTTTACTACCTTGCACCCATTAAATAATTCACATCCTTTAATATAACATTAAATATTTACAAAGAAAATATATCTTATTAATAGAGTAGTGTATGACATTTACAAGTAGATTATAAAATAAAAGTAAAAAATACCGCTAAAATAGACGTAATGACGTAAGGGTTTCTGATATATTAGCAAGTAAGGATTAGAAATAATCAACAATGTCAATTACTGCCAACTGAAACAATGACTTTAAATATTGAAGGAAAGCGAACAGCAATTGGATTATTGAAGACTAGCTGTGCCCGCGAATTCGTCCGCGTGGAATTTAAAATAAAAAAATCTAAAATAAAAGTAGCCTAAGTTACTCCTTACTACAACAGCTATCTGTCAGTGAAAGTTTCGTCAAAATCGGTCCAGTCATTTCAGAGATTAGCCGGAACAAACAGACAGACAGACTGACAAAAATTGTAAAAAATGTTATTTTAGTACCGTGTATACATCCATATGCATTTAGTAAAAAGCGGTTATTTTAATATTACAAACAGACACTCCAATTTTATTTATCTGTATAGATGAGCGTTACTTGTGAACAACCACGTTGTAAAAATTAAATGCCTTATAGGTAAAGAAAATTATCATACTTTTTTTATACTCTTACTTGCTTGCCTATTGGGTCTAAGTAATGTCTAATATCCAGTACCCGTATCGCAATTTAGAGAATACAAATATGAATACATAGAGCAAGTGTAAAATCATGATAGTGACAGTAAACAATATATTTTAATTTTGCATAGCTACCTTTAAGTAGTTAATTGGCTTATTGCAAAAACTTTGTGATAAAAACTTACTTTTATTCGAATAAAATATAGCATGGTCTGTTCAGTATAAACGAATAGTGAAGTGTTCGAAACGGCGGGAATTTAAAATCATAACGAAACGCGATCAAATCCCTAAAGTAGTTTCATTTAACTGAATACAGCCTGATAAAGCAGCTTAAAAAAGTAAACATCGTTCAAAAGTTTTTGTAATTAGTTCAATGGCCCCAGAGATTAACGGTTTCACTAGAACCGTAAAATTTTATAATGTTAATATAAAATCAAACTAAAAAAAAAGCGACGAAAACAACTAACCGTTACACAGGCAGCAAAGGATATGATATTCAAAAGCTGACTTTAGAACAGAACAATTGTAATGCTCTTACTGGGACCGATGGATTATAAATAACAAAGTGTACTGTTGTCAAATGGCGAAGAATTGCGGTTTCTAGTTAGACGCGTACTTCGATAATCTCAATAATGACTGCTGGAACAATATGAGCAGGGATAGAATCATCTAATAACTAATGAAACGACGTTATATCTCCGTATATAATTATACCAAAAACATTACAGGGTTCAAGATTGTTTAAAAATATTGTTCAAAAATGTAATTTTTTTTTACATTTTTGCTAACTGTCCATCAATTATGCAATTACATTTTTTTTTTTTTTTTTTTTTTATAACTGATGTTTTTGCTTTCAGTCCCGAGACTATTAAAGCTTCATCTGACGCAGAACCGGTGGGCTAGCCAGAACCCACGGGTTTGGGCCCTCCGCTGTGGGTAGGGCCGCGCATGTGCTCATGCGTGCGTTTAACTATGACATGTCATCTAAGGGCCATCGAAGTTGCGGTGCGGACCGAGACCCCGATGGCCGTCGACTGTGTTTTTAGCTAATCGGTGGCTGCGGGCGGTGAGAACCGCCCTGGAACGCGGGTGTACCTTGTGTACGCGTTGTGTTGGTCTCGCCGTGCTCGGAGGCGAGGGCGAACTATTGTGTTTGTTGGTACACTAGCTGTGGGTGTAGTTTTATCCGGCGGGACCCCCGGCGGTGGGTCCGGCGTATCTAAGTACCCTTCCTCGACCGGGTCGATGAGGACGTTTCGCGGGCGACGCTTGTTGACGTTCGCGTTTGTGTCGGGTTGGTAATTTGCTGCGCTTACCACCAGAGGGTTGGGATGATGTTCGGCTCTATCGAAGAACCGTTTTGTCAGATCTTTGAAATATTCGCGAATCGTCGGGAGTCTGCAATCGCTGTGCAGATCGACGTTGCGTTGATACCACTGCGCACCGGTTGCACGGCGGATGAACTTATTTTGTACTATTTGCAGCTTGTACAAGCGAGTAGGGTGCGTGTGGGCGAAGATCATGCATGCGTAGGACATAATAGGTCGTACGCAGGTCTTATATAATAATAATTTGTGCCTTAAGGGCATTTTACTTTTAGCGTTAGTTAAATTGTGTAGCCGGCCGGAGACGAACGCGGCTCTATTACGAACGTTATTAATGTGCGTAGTAAATGACATACGCGAGTCGAAAGTGACTCCTAAGTATTTGACCTTTTTCTCCCAGGGGAGCGGTTGGCCATAAAGGGATATTTGCCCCAACTTTCTGCATTGGCGAGGGCCATTATAAAGATGTGACGGGTAAGTACTTCGTGTGAAGTGAATCGCCACACTTTTTTCGGGATTTATTTCTATTCTCCATTTGCGGAACCAATCGCCGAGGCGGTCGGCGGCGCTTTGGAGTCGAGTGGTTAGTATTCTAAGGTTGCGGTCTGAATAAAAGAGCGCGGTGTCATCCGCGAAAAGCGCGAGATTGACGTGGGGGTCTTTGGGTATGTCGCTCGTGTAGAGCGTAAAGAGCAAAGGTGAGAGGCAGGAGCCTTGTGGTACGCCGGCCGTGAGGCGGCGGCTTGTGGAGAGGGTGCCCTCGACTCGATATCGAAAGGAGCGATTCAACAAAAAGGCCCGGATGGTGTGTACGAGCCTATCTGGCACTTTGAGTGTGTACAGCTTGTAAAGCAAGCCGTTGTGCCAGACCTTGTCGAATGCTTTAGCGACATCGAAGAAAAGAGCCCCTGTACTAATATGTTTAGGGTGATTTAGGCCTTTTAGGATATGTTCCGTTAGGCGGAATAGTTGATCGGGACAGGAATGTCTAGCTCGAAAGCCGAATTGTTCTGTCGGCAGAAGGCCGTTGGAAAACACGTGCTCTTTCAGCCTGTTTAATAAGAGCCGCTCGTAGAGCTTCCCCAGGCAACTGAGGAGGCGATAGCTAGAGGGCTGGTTGGCTGGTTTATTCGGCTTGCGAATGCCGATAACCGTGGCTTGTTTCCAGTCGTCCGGAAAGGAGCAACTGGAGAGTAGAGTGTTGAAAATGGTCGCCAGTAAACAGATAAGCGGCCCAGGGAGAGCTTTGAGAATTTTGTTACTGATCTTATCTGGGCCCGGGGCGGATTTCGGTTTTAAATTTTTAATAATATCTTGGATCTCTTCGGCGGTCACTGAACTTAAAGTATCGCCTTCCGGGGGAAGCGCAGCCCTAGTCTCGATTACACGGTCCACCTCCGTTAGGTGGACTGTATCGGTGTGTTCGCGCGATGGCGTACATTGCTGCTCTAGGTTGTCCGCAAGGCATTCGGCTTTTTCGGAGTCATCTAGGGCTACTGAAGCGCTGTTAGGTCTAATTAATGGCGGTAGAGATTCGCGGGGGTCTGCTTTCAGACTGCGGGCCAACCGCCAGTAGGCGGTGTGCGATGGCTCGATGTCCTCTAGGAGAGTGTCCCACGTTGTATGTCGGTTTTCCGATACACGATCTTTGACTTCTAGCTGAAGGCGTCGAAGTAGGGTTCGGTTCGATTCCGATCGGTATCGGTCGAAGGCGCGTTGGCTGCATTTTT